GATGTGTCTCTCTCGCATCTATGTTACTCTCTCTCTCTCTTCCCCCCTCTCTCCCTCCCACTCTATCTGAAGATAAATGCAAAAATGTCCTCGGGTGAGGATTTAAAAAACAATTTTTTAAAAACAAATTAATAACTTGCCCTGGCCGGTTTGGCTCAGCAGTAGTGCGTCATCCTGCGGTCCAGAGAGACCTGGGTTCGGTCCTGCTAAGGGCATGTACCTCAGTTGCAGTTTGTCCCTGGCCCTGGTTGGGTCGTGTGGGTGGCAACCACTTGATGTGTCCCTTTCATATCGATGTTTCTCTCTCTCTCTCTCTCTCTCTCTCTCCCTCCCTCCCTCCCTCCCTCCCTCCCACTCTATCTGAACAAAAAATGGAAAAAGGTCCTCGGGTGGGCGAGGATAAAAAAAACAAAACAAAGAAACTAAAGACAAATGTCCTAAGGCTACTATAAAGGTGTTAGAAACATTGATGTGAGAAACATTGATCAGCTGCCTCCTGCACACCCCCTACTGGGGATCAAGCTGGCAACCAGGGCATGTGCCCTGACTGGGAATCAAACCAGAACCTCTCAGTCCTTGGGATGATGCTCAATCCACTGAGCCACACTGGCCACATTTATGGGAATTATTATTCAAATAGCCACTTCATGCTTAAGATAGTGTGAATTCAGAAAACAGTTTATCAATCCCTGGGAGACCGAAATGACTCAAATAATAAAATGCTGGGATGCCCCATTCGGGAAATTGTGTGGTGAGCAGGCAGGAAACGCACAGGTTCTAGATAGCCAAAATCAACAGGGAAAGATTTATGGAGGATTTTAATTTGAGACAAGCCATGTTTTTGAGAAGGGGAAAAAAGCATTCCAAGTAAAGAACGTGGAGAGACAATAGATTCATTACTTAAAAACAAAATTTGAAATGAGCAGAAATCAGTAAATAAGTCTTGGGATGCTTCTGATCACTGTTGCTTATGTAATAAGCTTTTAAAAAGAATAGCAATTTATAAGGGCAGTCAAATTACATATCTAAAATTTCTATCATACTTTGTTCCAGGAAGAATTTAGGGCCTCTTTTATGAAAACATGTTTGAGATGCAGCAGTTGAGCCCTGGCCGGTTTGGTTCAGCAGTTAATGCATCAGCTCAAGGATCGAAGGCTCTTGGGTTCAATTCCAGTTAAGGGCACATACCAGGGTTTCAGGTTCAATCTCCGACCCCAGGCAGGGTCATGCAGGAGGCAACCAATCAATGTGTCTCCTTCACATCAATGTTTCTCTCTTCCTCTCCCTCCCTCCCACTCTTTTTAAAAATCAGTGGGAAAAAATAACCTCAGGTGAGGATTAACAACAACCACAAAAAGATGCAGTAGTTGAAAAAACAAATAGAATTAAATAGCATGATCCCACTAAGATTTGTACACAACACTAAAGAACAATATGATTAATAAATATTAGCACTAAGTTCACAGTGATTTTTGTATTTAAAAATTTTCTACAACTATACATTCTATTTAAAATCAAAGAAAAAAAATTTTTATAAGTAACTTAAGAGACACGATTAATCTGCTACTGAGGCCAGAGGGAAATTCCTCCTTGATCTTCTACATATGCTAAACAATGTCCTTAACATCTCTGGAATAAATCCAGCACCAAGTTCTAAAATCAGTTCCTGATACAACAAAATGCTACCCCCTAAATTCAGTCTAGATGCACAGCTGGTTCCCTGCTATCTGGCTTAAGCTAGGGATGGATTTTAGAGTAGCTTGAAGAGAAGATGGATTATATATGTATGTGTGTGTGGGGGGGGGGGTCTACCACATACATATGGACCAGTCTTCTTAGAGTCATGTTTTTCATTCCCTTGTTGCTGTGTTTTCAACTCATTAATTTTCATTTTATTTTATTGTGTATCATTTGCGGTTGTGTAAGCTGTCCCAAGTGCCTTTAAAAAATATTTATTTTTATTTTCATTTTATTTTTTAATCCTCACCCAAGGATATTTTTCTATTTATCTTCAGATAGAGTGGGAGGGAGAGGGAGAGATAGGGAGGGAGAAACAAGGACGTGAGAGGGACACATCAATTGGTTGCCTCCCACATGTCCCTGACCAGGGCCAGGGCCAAACCACAACTGAGGTACGTGCCCTTGGCTGGAATCGAACCCTCGACTCATTGGTCCGAGGGCCAACGCTCTACCACTGAGCCAGACTGGCCAGGGCTATCTTTATTTTTCAATTACAGTTTCTTTTCTTTTTTTTTTTAAATCCTCACTGGAGGACATTTTTGCATCTATCTTGAGATAGAGTGGGAGGGAGAAAGGGAGGAAGAGAGAGAAACATCTATGTGAGAGAGACACATCGACTGGCTGCTACCCACACAACCCCAACTGGGGCTGGGGACAAACTGCAACCGAAGTACATGCCCTTAGCAGGAACTGAACCCAGGCCGCTCTGGTCTGCAGGCCAACGCTCTAACCGCTGAGCAAAAGCAGCCAGGGTCAATTAGTTTATTTTCACTATTATTTTGTATTGGTTTCAGGAGTACAGCGTAGTGGTTAGACAGTCATATACTTTACAGTGTTCCTCTCCTTGATAGTTCCAGTACCCACCTGGCACCAGGGTTATCACAGTATAGACTGTATGCTGTACTTTACATCCCGGTGACTATTTTGTAGCTACCGATTTGTACTCCTTAATTGCTTCACCTCTTCCTTCCAGTCCCCCTCTGGCAACCACCAGTCCGCTCTCTGTGTCTATGAGTCTGTTTCAACCAAGTGCTTTTTGTTTTGTATTTTTAGTATGTTTTTATTGATTTTAAGAGATAAAAACATCAGCCCTGGCCGGTTTGGCTCAGCGGTTGGAGTGTCGGCCTGCGGTACAGAGAGACCCAGGTTCAGTTCCCGCTAAGGGCACGTACCTCGGTTGCAGTTTGTCCCCGGCCCTGGTTGGTCGTGCGGGTGGCAGCCACTCGAGTGTCCCTTTCACATCGATGTTTCTCTCTCTCTCTCTTCCTCTCTCTCCCTCCCGCTCTATCTGAACAAAAAATGGAAAAATGTCCTCGGGCGAGGATAAAAAAAAAAGAGAGAGAGATAAAAACATCAATGTTAGAAACATCAATCGGCTGCCTCCTGCACGCCCCCTACTGGGGAGCGAGCCCACACTCCAGACATGTGCCCTGACAGGGAATTGAACTGGGACCTCTCAATCCGTGGGATGATGCTCAATCCCCTGAGCCACACCTGCCAGGCAACCAAGTCCTTTTTGTAAAGAGGTGATATACTCACCAAGGATCTAATTAAACTTCCTGGGGCCTGCCTTCTGTTTGTGCTCAAGAAGCATGGAGCCATACAGTTTAGTAGTCTTTAAAGCCGAGGAGAGGAGTAACATCCTCTCGTTAAAATAAAAGAGCCTGCCTGGCTGGTGTGGCTTCCTAGCTGAGCATCAACCCATGCACCAAGAGGTCGCCGGTTAGATTCCCAGTCAGGGCACGTGCCCAGGTTGTGGGCCTGTTGCCCAGGTTGTAGGCCTGATCCCCAGTGGGGACATGCAGGAGGTGGCCAGTCGATGTTCTCTCTCATCGTTTCTAACTCTCCCTCCTTCTCCCTTCTTCTCTCTCTAAAAATCAAAGAAAAAATTTTAAAAATAAATAAATAAAATGAAAGAGCCTGACAAGGACTTATGGCTAATCAGAGGGCCAAAGGAATGCCTTGAAGTTTCACATCTGCCCCAGTGCGGACAACAGGACAGTCAAAGCCCAGAATTCTACTCCATGGAGAACGGCAGAATGGGTTGCCTCACAATTTAGAATTGTAGACTCCAAGCAAAATAAATATTGGAAGAATGCTAATGAAAATTATTTGAGTTTCAGAAAAGTTTAATTTGTTTTGGTAGTTATTAAATTGAGGGGCATTAATAAAAAACTGTATTGTTTGCATATGAGCCTGGTCATCTTTCATTGTTGGGGGTAGAGGAAGGGGAGTAGGTATCAACCTCTTGCAAAAATGGTATTAAATCAATAGGCTACAGTTTTATTTATTTAATCCCCACCTGAGGACATTTTTGCATTTATCTTCAGATAGAGCAAGGGGGGGGGGGCATCCATGTGAGAGAGACACAAGGACTAGTTGCTGCCCACATGACCCCAACCAGGGCCAGGGACAAACTGCAACCGAGGTACGTGCCCTTAGCGGGAACCGAACCCAGGACTCTCTGGACCGCGGGCTGACATTCTAACTGCCGAGCCAAACTGGCCAGGGCTAAGCTACAGTTTTAAGAAGAGAGTGGGTGGGGCAAAACACATTACTATTTAACAGTCTCCCCGCCCCCCAAAACGTAAAACTACAATTCTGTATTTAATTCATGCACATTCCCCAAGAACTGTTCACTATCCAGAGTCAAAGGCTAAGGAAACATTCACAAAAGCCATAAACCATTTTACATTATTCCCAACAGGGAATGTAAATCATTGAATATTATTTAGCTGTAAACTTTGCATCAAGAGATCATATCATGTATGCTGACCATACTAATAAAAAAAAAGAAAATGACATCCACTATACTTGAGGAATCTGCTTATAAGTGAAATATTCATTGCAGGGGGCCCCACGTTAACCTAATTAATGAAGAGAGAGGTACAGATGTCTCAAGGGATACGCACAGAATGAGGAAGATGAGAAAACACCAGAGAAAGCATCAAAAGCCATAGGTAGAGGCTGAACTGAGTGCTGCTTCAAGATGAACTCACAGTAAAAAGGTAATAATGAAAGCTGAAAGGCAGGGGATTTTATGGAAGATCAGACAGCTTCTCCGGACCACAAGCCGAGGCTCTAACTGCTTCTCTCCCATCAGCCCATTCTCTCTGATTCTGACACATGCCAGGTAAATGTGAACTAGAATCTTACAGCTGTACTGGGCTCGGGGAGCACAACAGGTAGCCTGGGAACAGCCAGGGAGGCAGCGCGCACTTGTGTACACAAGACAGAACTCCACCGGGCCTCCTCACGCGCGGGCAGAATCTTTTACACGCATTCCCTTCTCCCAGCTCACACTGAGCACAGCATGCCTTGAGTCAGGATGAACAGACGCCTGTTTTTTTCTGGAGATACTTAGATGTTTATTCATTCATTCAAATCAATTTCACAATTTTATTACCAAAGTAAAATCATTTTTCTTCCTTCTCTGCCATAATCTATCATCAGCAAATGACCACAGAAAGATAAAAAGTGTTGTTTTCTAAAAACCCTTTCTGCACTGCTTTTTGTCCCCTCTAATACAAAAGTAGCCTCAAAGTGTTCCTAAACCACAAAAAAGGACTTAAACAGTGCCATTTGCCCCTCGTTTTATTCAGACGCTTGAGTGCGCTCCCCCCACCCCCCGGGCTAGAGGTCTACTCTATATATTTCATTCTTCACAGTAAAGAAAAAAACCCATCATTCCCCAACTCCGTGAACAAGGTAAAAATTTTAGGACATCTTTCATTTGCAACAGAGACAACACCCCAGCCAATCAGCAATGCCCCGTCCAGAAAATACCAATTTCCTGCCTCTACCCTTTTTCGCTATTTCTTAAAGATCCGTAAGATTTAAAATCTACTCTTTTAAGAGCAATTTTGTGACTCACACATGTCAATTTATACCTAAAACTAAAAATAAATAATGAGGTTCTTAAACAGGATGACTTTCTCTGACCAGGTTATCAGATGGCTAGACCAGGCTATGGTGACATGAGAGGTCATGAGGTACTGTGGGACAGGCAGGTTCTCTCTCCTCCCTCCCCTGAAATTTCTTCAAGGTTCAGACAGTTCAGTAGTATTAAAAGGGCCGCAGCTGGGACACACCTTAGGTGAAAGAGCTGGGCGATGATCCACAAACCAAGATGTTATTTACACACGTGGCTTTTGAGAAATTGAATCAAAGACTGGGTGGCCCAACCTGAATGAAACAAGAGGCTTAATTAAAATAAGTTCGACACCAATATAGAGTCCTCCACCAGGAGTTACTTTGCAGAGAAGCCACAAGAGGCTAGGTCAGTGCTCCACCTTTAGCTAAGGACGTATCCTCCTCCCCAACGTAAAACAGCAAATGCACCCATAAGGTGGAGTTGTCAGTGAGAGTTCCCTCTGACTCAAGCAAGAAGCAGGAAACAGAAGGATTTCTGATTAACCTGGGAAACAGAATGCAAAACAAAATCAACTTAAATGGGCTTCACAAAAGAGAAAACTCTGTTGGAAGGTCTCATTAAAAAAAAAAATTCATAGACGGGTAGAGAGGAAACTGGGCAATGGCCTTTGGACTTCAGGGGAAAGTCCATCAAGATGCTTTGAGATTCTCAGCTGAGAGAGTGAGTTCATCTTCCATCCATCGATGACTGCACCAGACATGTCCCAAAAGGAGTCTCCATGGAGTCCACCTTCTCCCTGACAACTCTTAACGAAGGTGAGTGCCCGACACATATCCCCCACCGCCCTAACTGCAGCTGGAGCTGGCTGACGCTCCCCTCGGCTCCGCTCCCTGGCTGTGGGTCTGCGTCTTTACCGCCAGGCGCGATTCAGGAGTTTCACCTGTGCCAGTCTCTTAGTGATCATGGTGGCAAAAACCAGGCCAAAGAGGACACTGCTGATTAACACGTAGTCATAGTCATCCTTCAGGACATCAAACTGTTTGGACGGGTAGACTCGAGTCTGGTAAATGTCCAGACCGTAGGCCACAACCTGGAAGGCAGAGGGAATGAGAAGTAGGTAAGTAAGAAAGGCAGCCAGTGATCCAACCACGGCAAACTCAGGTAAGAAAGGAAATGAAACCCTCAGCTGTTTCCCCAGGGATGAAACCAAGAGCAGCTGTCACACAGGGTGGCTGTGGGCTCTACTCACCAAACAAGTGGACTCCAGGCCTGAAGGAGCAGTGTAGATACCTCGCATTCGAGAAACTGTCTGGTTATAGTTGATGAATCGTTCTGCGTGTATCTGTACATCTGGAGAATACGGGATTAGGTTCTCCTCTCTGCAAAACATCAGCCGGGATGGCATTTAAACTGCTGTAAGGGGATCCCTTGGCTGCCCTTTCGGAGTCCTGGGAGCTTTCCAGGCCACATATCTAGCCTCAAATCCTCCTTCAAAGTCTACTAGGTCATTAAAAATTTAGCAGCTAACTGTTAGGAAGGCTGCAAGAAAGCAAGCTGTGTGGAGACTAAGACTAGGATCTGAATTCCTACCTTGTTCTAAATCTAAAAACAAATAACAAACAGACAACCAGTATTCACCCCAGGGGAGAAAAGTCGGGGCCACTTAAAACCAAAACTTTGGGCCACTGGGCCAGTTCCTGCTCTTTAGCCCAGAGTGCCTCTGTCTACACTCCTCTTAAAAACCTCATCATCAAGATGGCGGCCGGCAGGACCGGAGGGAGGGTGAGTACGTGAGAGTGAGCTAGTATGTGAGAGTGAGAGAACGTGAAGGCAGACAACCAAACTCATGCAGTGCAAAGACGCGGAACAGAAGGTTCCTGTGCTGTGGTCGGGAAGCAGCCGGCTACCACAGTAAGTGGCTCTTCAGGGCGCTTCTCCCTGCGCCATAGGGAGGTCCCACCATTTCGGAAGATCCGGGGTCTTCCCTGGGAGGAGGCAGTGGGAGCAGCTAGGGCCCAGCAACCTGAGCTCACCAGTGCACCTGGCACCATCAGACCAGTGGACACTCTGTCAACACAGACCAGTGCACAGTAGCGGAGCTGCCAAGGTGCCAGTTGCAGAAACTGCAAACGGCCAAGAGCCTAGCACCATCCCCCACAGTAGCAGCCCAATCAGAGTCGAGATATACCCCCAGCAACAGAAGCTGGAGAACAGACATCCATCCCCAGGCAACAGAAGCACAGATTAGCAGCTGAGACCCATCCCCAAAAACTACAGCAAAGGCTGAGCAGGAGCTGAGCCCCACGGGGCAGCAGCACTCCCCAGCCACCAGCATCAGGACCTGGGGCTCCACAGAGGCCTGTGCGACCCAGTGGCCCACAAGAGCAGTGGGAAGCCGGGGATTAAGAGGGACTGGTGCGATCTAGCTACCAGTAGGACCCGTGGGGTGCTGAGGCACTAGAGAGGCCTGTGTGACCCAGCTACCCACAAGATAGGCATGGAGTCGGGTCTCCAGAGAGGCCTGTGAGACCCAGCTGCCCACAAGACAGGCATAGAGCTGGGTCTCCAGAAGGGACTGTGCGATTCAGCGGGGCCTGTGCAACCCAGCTGCCCACAAGATAAGCGGGAGCCAGGGCTCCAGTGAGGCCTGTGCAATACAGCTGCCCACAGTACGGGCAAGAAGTGGGGCTCCAACGGCCTGAGCTATGCAGCTACAGGTGGCACCAGCGACCAGCTGGGAACACAGCTCCAGAAGGGCCCACATGATCCAGCAGCAGCACCTACCAGGACACACCAATACCAGCTCCCAGTAGTCAGTCCTCCAGGATCCACAGCAGGCAAGAGGCAACATGCAACAGAACAGTCTGGGAGGCACAGTCGCCTTATTTGATATACAGTGAGCTGACTACACATCCAAACATCCCTCAGCGGGTCTAGAGCTACCAGATAGCTAAAATGGGGAGACAAAGAAACAACACCCAAAGGAAAGAAAAAGAGGAATCACCAGAAAAGGAACTATAAGAATGTGAAGACAGCAACTTGTCAGATAAAGAATTCAAAGCAATGATTTTAAGGGTACTCAAACAATTTGGTGAGAACTACAAGCAACTTAATAAGAATTATGAAGAGCTCACTTCAGCTTAAAAAAAAAGAGGTAGAAGCTATGCATAAAATCAAGAGGAAATGAAGAATGACATAGCAGTTATGAAAAATACCTTCGAAGGGTTCAATAGTAGATTAGAAGAAGCTGAAGAGCAAATCAGCAACTTAGAATACAAGGTAGAGAAAAACACCCAAATAGAGCAGCAAATGGAAAAAAAATTTAAAAAGCAGGAGGAAAGTTTAAGGGAGCTGTGGGACAATACAAAACATTACAATATTCACATTACAGGGATACCGGAAGGAGAAGAATCAGAGAAAGCAATAGAGAACCTGTTTAAAGAAATAATGACAGAAAAATTCCCTAAACTGGTGAAGGAAAAAGTCACACAAGTCCAGGAAACACAGAGAGTCCCAAGCAAGATGAACCCCAGAAGACCCACAGCTAGACACATCATAATAAAAATGGCAAACATTAAAGACAAAGAAAGAATCTTAGAAGAGACAGAAAATTACCAACAAGGGAGCTCCCATTAGACTGTCAGCTGATTTATCAATAGAAACTATGCAGGCCAGAAGAGAGTGGCATGAAGTGTACAAAGTAATGCAAGGCAAGGGTCTGAATACAAGACTACTCTATCCAGCAAGGCTATCATTCACAATTGAAGGAGAAATAAAGAGCTTCACGGATAAAAAATGCTAAAGGAATTTACCACCACCAAACCAGCACTGCAAGAAATGCTGAAGGGACTGTTGTTAGAAGAAGAAGAAAGAGAGAGAGAGAGAGAGAGAGAGGAACACAGGCATAAAATTAAAATAGCAACTAATAACATCTATCAATAATTACCTTAAATGTAAATGGCTTAAATGCTCCAATCAAAAGACACAGGGTAGCTGACTGGATAAGAAAACACGAACCATATATATATATATGCTGTCTACAAGAGACCCACCTCACAACAAAAGACTCACACAGGATGAAAGTGCAGAGATGGGAAAACATTTTCCAAGCAAATGGAAATGGAAAAAAAGCTGGTGTAACAATACTCATATCTGACAAGATAGACTTCAATACAAGGGCCATGATAAGAGACAGAGAAGGTCACTACATAATATTAAAAGGATCAATCCAATAAGAGGATAAAACCCTGGTAAACATACACGCACCAAATACGGGAGCACCAAAATATATTAAAAATCTTCTGGAGGACTTCAAGGGAAAGATCAATAGCAACACAATTATAGTGGGTGACTTTAACATGCCACTGACACCACTGGATAGATCTTCTAGACAAAATATTAACAAGGACACAGAGTCCTTACAAGACAAACTAGATCAGTTGAGCTTCATTGATATTTACAGAACATTTAACCCCAAAGCTGCAGAATATACATTCTTCTCAAGTGCACATGGATCATTCTCAAAGACAGACCACATGTTAGGACACAAAGCAAGTCTCTACAAATTCAATACAATTGAAATCATATCAGGAATCTTCTCAGAACACAGTGACATGAAACTAGAACTCAATTACAATAAAAACACACAAAAACATTCAAACACTTAGAGGCTAAATAGCATGTTATTAAACAACGAATGGGTTACCAAGAAAATCAAGGAAGAAATTAAAAACTTCCTGGAAACCAATGAAAACGAACACACAACAACACAAAATCTATGGGATGCAGCAAAAGCAGTCCTGAGAGGGAAGTTCATAGCACTACAGGCCTACCTCAAGAAACAAAAATTCCTAATTGACTTTCTAACCCTACAACTTAAAGAACTAGAAAGTAAACAAAAAGAAAAACCCAGAGCTAGTAGAAGGAAGGAAATAGTAAAGGTTAGAGCAGAAATAAATGACATAGAGACTAAAAAGATAATTCAAAAGATCAATGAAACAGCCCTGGCCGGTTTGGCTCAGCGGTTGGAGCGTCGGCCTGCGGTACAGAGAGACCCGGGTTCGGGCACGCACCTCGGTTGCAGTTTGTCCCCGGCCCTGGTTGGTCGTGCAGGTGGCAGCCACTCGATGTGTCCCTTCACGTCGATGTTTCTCTCTCTCTCTCTTCCTCACTCTCCCTCCCGCTCTATCTGAACAAAAACTGGAAAAATGTCCTCGGGTGAGGATAAAAAAAAAACAAACAAACAAAAAATCAATGAAACAAAAAGCTGGTTCTTTGAAAAGATAAACAAGCCCTGGCCGGTTTGGCTCAGCGGTTAGAGCGTCGGCCTGTGGTCCGGAGAGGCCCGGGTTCGGTTCCCGCTAAGGGCATGTACCTCGGTTGCAATTTGTCCCCGGCCCTGGTTGGTCGTGCGGGTGGCAGCCACTCGATGTGTCCCTTCACGTCGATGTTTCCCTCTCTCTCTCTTCCTCTCTCTCCCTCCCACTCTGTCTGTACAAAAAATGGAAAAATGTCCTCGGATGAGGATTAAAGAAAAACAAAAAAACAAAAAAACGAAAAGATAAACAAGACTGATGGAACTTTAGCCAGACTCACCAAGGAACAAAGAGAAACTAAATAAACAGAAATGAAAGAGAAGTAACAACTGACACCACAGAAATACAAAGGATCATCGAAACATACTATGAACAATCTATACGCCAACAAATTGGACAATCTAGGAGAAATGGACAAATTTCTACAAACACACAGGCTCCCAAAACTAAACCAGGAAGAGATAGAAAACTTGAACACACCAGTAACAACAAAGGAAATTGAAGATGTAATTAAGAAACTCCCAGCAAACAAAAGCCCAGGCCCAGATGGCTTCACAGGGGAGTTTTACCAAACATTCAAAGAAGATTTAATACCCATTCTCCTCAAACTATTCCAAAAAATCCAAGAAGACAGAACACTTCCAAACTTATTTTATGAGGCCAGCATAATCCTAATTCCAAAACCAGATAAAGACACTACAAAGAAAAAAAACTACAGGCCAATATCCCTGATGAACACAGATGCCAAAATCCTTAACAAAATATTAGCAAATCGGATCCAGTGATACATCAAAAAAATTATTCATCATGACCAAGTGGGTTTTATCCCAGGCATGCAAGGATGGTACAATATTCGCAAATCAATAAATGTGATACACCACATAAATAAAAGGAAAGATAAAAACCACATGATCATATCAATAGATGCTGAAAAAGCATTAGAAAAAATCCAGCACCCATTTCTGATAAAAACGCTCAGCAAGGAGGGAATAGAGGGATCATATCTCAACATAATAAAGGCCACATATGAAAAACACAGCCAACAACACACACAATGGGCAAAAACAAAGAGCAGTCCCCTTAAGAATGAGACCAAGACAGGGATGCCCACTTTTGCCACTCTTATTTAACATAGAACTGGAAGACTTACACACTGCTATTACACATGAAGAAAAAATGAAAGGGATCCAAATTGGAACACAGAAAACCCTAAAGACTCCATCAAAAACCTACTAGAGTTAATAAATAAATTTGGCAAAGTAGCAGGATACAAACTTAACGTCCAGAAATCGACAGCATTCTTATACACCAATGATGAAATCACAGAAAGAGAAACTAAAAAAAAAAATCCCATTTACCATCGCAACAAAAAAGTTAAGATACCTAGGAATAAACTTAACCAAAGAAGTAAAAGACCTCTTCACAGAAAACTACAGGACATTGAAAAAAGAAACAGAAGAAGATATAAAAAAGTGGAAGCATATACCTTGTTCATGGATTGGAAGAATTAACATCATTAAAATGTCCATACTACCCAAGCAATCTATAGATTCAATGCAATCCCCATCAAAATACCAATGACATATTTCACAGAACTAGAACAAACACTCCAAAAGTTCATATGGAACCAGAAAAAACCTCGAATAAACATAGCAATCTTGAAAAAACAACAAGTAGGAGGGATCACAATACCAGATTTCAGGTTATACTACAAATCCACTGTAATTAAAACAGCCTGGTACTGGCACAAGAACAGGCATATAGACCAGTGGAACAGAATAGAGAACCCATAAACTCACCCAAGATAATATGCTCAATTAATATTTGACAAAGGTGGCAAGAGCATACAGTGGAGTTAAGATAGTCTCTTCAATAAATGGTGTTGGGAAAATTGGACAGCTACTTGCAAAAAAATGAAGCTAGACCACCAACTTATACCATACACGAGAATAAACTCAAAATGGATAAAAGACTTAAATATAACTCGTGAATCCATAAAAATTCTAGAAGAAAATGCAGGCAACAAAATTTCAGACATCATACACAGCAGAATTTTCACTGATAAAACACACCTAATGCAAGAGAAACAAAGGAAAAAAGGAACACATGGGACTACATCAAACTAAAAAGCTTCTGCACAGCAAAAGAAACAACCATCAAAACGAAAAGGGATCCCACTATTTGGGAGACCATAATCGCCAATGATGCATCAGATAAGAGGTTAATTTCCAAAATATATAGAGTGCTCCTATACCTCAACAAAAGGAAGACAAAAAACCCAATTAAAAAATGGGCAGAGTACCTAAATGGACACCTTTCCAAACAGGACATCCAAATGGCCAAGAGACATATGAAGAAATGCTCAACATCACTAATCATCAGAGAGATGCAAATTAAAACCACTATGAGGTATCACCTCACACCTGTCAGAATGGTCGCCATCAACAAATCATCAAACAACAAGTGTTGGCAAGGGTGTGGAGAAAAGGGGGCTCTAGTACACTGCTGGTGGGAATGCAGACTGGTGCTACTACTGTGGAAAATACTATGGTGTTACCTCAAAAAATTAAAATTGAACTGCCATTTGACCCAGGTGATCCCACTTGTAGGAATATACCCTAAGAAACCTGAAACACCAATCAGAAAGAATATATGTACCCCTGTGTTCATAGCAGCACTATTTACAATAGCTAAGATCTGGAAACAACCCAAGTGTCCATCAGTAGACAAATGGATAAAAAAGCTGTGGTACATATACACAATGGAGTACTATGCAGCTATAAGAAAGAAAGATCTCTTATCCTTTGCGATGGCACAGAAGGACCTAGAGAGTATTATACTAAGCGAAACAAGCCAAGCAGAGAAAGACAAATATCACATGATCTCACTTATTTGTGGAGTATAATGAACTAAACAAACTGATGAACTAAACTGACCCAGAGACATAGAGGTGGGGTACAGACTGACAAGCCTCGGAGGAAGGAGGATTGGGGGTGAAGAGATAAACCACAGAACTTATATGCATGTATATATGACCAACAAACATAGACAACAAAGCTGGGGATGGGGCAGGGGGGATGGGGAGGAGGGTGTCAATGGGGGAAAAAGGAGAAACATCTATAACAAAAACAAATTAATAATAAAAAAAAAACATTATCATCCCGGGTCTCTTTCCCAGCTTTATCCTCCCCTCCCCAGTCTCTCCCTCCTCCAAACCATACTCCTCCCCTTTCCTCATGTGCAAAGACAGATCTACTGTCTCCGTGCTGCCCAGTTTCTCACACCCCTAAGGGAAGAGAATTCAGAATGGAGGTGAGAAAATATGCAGAAATGATAGCTAGAATTACTCAAATTCATACTAACAGTGACAAGCTGTTGACTTCCCTACATGACCCAGCCCCGATGACCTCCCTGACCTCATTTCCTCGTGTCCCCACCACCAGCTGCTCCAGCCTCACTGGCCTCCCCCTCCCTCTAACTCACGGACATGCTCTTAGGACATCTGCACCGGCCCTTCCCTCCACCTAAAAAGTCCCCAGATCTCTACAGGGTAGCTTCCTTCCTCCTTCAGAGTTTTAATACAGTCACCATTTCAGAGGGGCTTTCCCTGGCCACCCCTCAAGGTTCAACCACACATATCCCCCTAACCCTTCATAACCCGTCCCGGTTGCTTTTTTCCTCAACATTTACGAGTAGCTAGGAGTTCATCTTATTTATGGTCCATCTCCCCGACCAGAATGTCAGCTGCAGGAGGGTGGACATATCTCTCAGACCTGTTCACTGCTACACCCCCAGCCCCCAGCACAGCAGGGCAGCAAGCACCAGACTGAGGGCCGCACGTGACCAAAGGTTAAGTTCCTTAAGGTCAGAGCCTTCACCCTGCCCACAGGGGTCTCACCTGCTTTGTTCTGTTGGGATCTCAGGACGGCGGGGATCCAGCAAGGCCTTAGGGAGGGAAAGAATCGCTCCGGAAGGTAGTCCGACTGCAGAGAAAGAAGTCAAAGTGAATGTTCACACCAATCGATCGACCCCACATTAGGGCTAGTTACAAAAATGTCACTATCAAAGAAATTTAAAATTGAGTTTAAAACAACAACAACAAAAGGGTCCATGAGGTTCCCTGATATGGCCCCAAACGATAACCTAATAATATGCACAGATCTGAATGAAGGTTCCCACTTTTGAAGATAATGGTTTCCTCACATTTCCTGAGCATCAGGAAATAAGGTTCTAGAATCAAGAAATGAGTAACGATGAGACCGAAGCGCGTGGAAGTCCACTCGGATCTCTTCACCCCTCCTTTCCCTTCAATACTACCTGCCCCGAAGGTCTCCCCTCCGTGAGCCGAGCGGGCCGTGGGCACGGCCACAGCAGTGGGGCCAGGGAGGTCCAGAGGGCACGAGAGCCCGCTGCTTCCGGAAACGGCGGGCCTGAACCTCGGGAAACTGCTGAGAGGGCTGTGCTCCTCGTATGAGAATAAAATAGTGGTACCAAGTGCCTGTCAAAGCCCTGAGTCCCAAACGTCTTTGGGAAAATCAGCCAGAGCAGCCTGTTACCCATCGCTAAGTCCAGAGCTTGGACGACATAAGGATGAGACCTAACCATGCCAGTTTCTGCAGTCAGCACAGGCCCTCTGCTGGGAATAACATCAGGGCTCAACTCTCTGAGCGAGGTGACAATGCAGAACAGAAGTGGTCCATTGGAAGTGAGAATGAAACGCGTCATCTGTGGTGGCAAAGCAGACTAAGGAACTCTTCCTGCTGAAATAAAGCCCCTCAAGCTGACCTTCCCTCGCGGTGGTCACACGTGGCTCCGCTGGCAACGTATGCCTGGCTGTCCTTCAGTGTGGCTGCCCAAGGGAACCCAATCGCCCCCCCCCAGCCACTCACTAAGCAGGTGTCGGCTGGTGATGCCCCGCTCGGTGATGGTGGCTTCCATGGCACTGATCGAGGAGGGGAAGATGTAGGACTGCTGGAGGACCTGTGGCAGCTGGGGCCGGTCCAGGGAGCTGAAGGCGGTGGCGTTGTACTGCTCGGTGCCCTCGTAGAGCTCCAGCACGGTGAACTCGTTGCGCCGGGCCTTGGTATTCCAGTACTGGTACTGCGGAGGGAAGAGGGGCAGCTGGGGCACAGCTGCGGGTCCAACTGGACAGGAAACTACATGGAGCACATCTTTCCAATCAGCTACACACCCAGGAAGGGAAGAAACCACCCAGCTCCCCAGTTTTCTTCCTTGCTAAGTTTACTAGCTTTCAGAGTCACTTTCTCTAGGCCACCCAGAGTTCACCACAAGAAAGAAAGAATTCTCAAGACTCTCGGAAATCGGAGTAATAGCTAACATTTGAGTGCTTACTATGCGCCAGGCATTGTTATACGCCAGACCAGCAGGGAGCGTTACTACCCCTACTTCACAAATGATGCAACACACAGAGCTTAAATAACTAGTTCGGTCAAGGTTGTACGGCCAGGAAATGGAAGGGCTGGGATCAAACCTCAGCCTAACCCTAACCAGCACTCCATGCTGGCATCGAGGGTTTTGGATCCTAAAAAACACAAAGCAGCAACTGGTTCTGGAGCACGAGGCAGTGAGAGGATCAGGAGGCAGAGACCAGCCACACAGCCCTGAGCTGTCAGGGCCCTGGTGGCGACATGACTTCACTGTGACTCCTTACCACCACCCAGTTCTCTGAGTGCACGATGTGGACGGGGCCCTTGGCCTTCCTCTGCACGGAGGAGTGGATGATGCGCCCAGTGACACCGTCCACGAGGAAGATGCCGATGAAGGTGCGCTCGTGGTGTACGTCTGTGCTCTCGGTCACCACGGCCAGCAGGTTGGGGTTCAGGCTCTGGGGGGGGAGAAAAGCTCCCTCAGAACCACAGTGGCACTCACAGCTCCACTCCACTGAGAGCCCAGGCGGTGAGGCAGGCCTGGAGCTTGCTGGCCTGGCAGAGGAATCAGGTTCTGTTAGAGGAGCTGCCCTTGAGTCTGCTGGGTGCTGGGTGCCATGCCACGTGCTTTGCCTGCCTCGTTTCACTGAATCCATAAACAACCTTGCAAAATAGCTATTATTGTCCACATTTCACTTGCTAGAATCACAGACATAGCAAATGGTAGCTCAAGATACAATCCAGGTCTGCCCAGTCACTGGCCCAAGTACCTGCTCCAGCAACGCTGTTTCTCTCCAGCAGTGTCCTCCCTATCACTGAATCAATGGACAGGTCTCAGTTCTCACCTCACCTCAGCCACTAGTACCATGTGACACGGGATCACTCACGTCGTGAAACACTTTCTCTACCTGGCATCCAGGACACCCACTCCCGGGTTTCTTTCTGCTCACTGGCCACGCCTTCTCAGACTCTTCTGCGGGCTCCTGCTCATCTCCCGATCTCTGGTGGTGACCTCAGCCGTCTCCTGGCTTCCACACCATCTACAGGTGCTGGCTTCACGAATCCGAGCCAGACCTCTCCCTGAACTCCAGACTTGACTAACAGCCTGCCAGCTCAGTATCTCTTCTTAGATGTCTTATCTCAAACTTCTCATGCCCCAAACTGAACTCCTGCTCTATCCCTGCTGAAGCCTGCTCCCTCAGGGCTCCCATGCGCATGTCAGACCTGGAACCTCTGAGTCATCCTCAGCCCCTCCCTCTCACACATCCTACCCACCAGCACCGCCTACTGGCTCCACCCTCAGAAGTGCCCAGCCCAGCCCAGCCAGTGTGGCTCAGTGGAGTGAGCGTCAGTCCATGGACTGAGAGGTCCGGGTTGAATTCCCGGTCAGGGCACATGCCCGGGTTATGGGCTTGATGCAGGAGGCAGCCGATCAATGTTTCTCTCTCACATAGATGTTTCTATCTCTCTCTCCCTTCCTCTCTCTCTAAAAAATAATAAAAATATTAAAAAACAAAGTGTTCCCCCTGATATTTCCAGTACCCACCTGGCATCATACACTTATTACAATATTACTTTTTTTAAAAAAGTACCCAGAATCAGATCCTTTTTCACCACCCCAACCTGGATTATTACAACAGCCCACTGCCAGCCTGCTCTCCTCCTCGGCCACGACAGGCTGGTCTCGACACGGCAGGACAAACGCATGCACCTGTTACATCTCAGTCGCTGCCTCTTCTCTGCTCAGAACTTCCCAGTGGCTCTCTGACTCATTCCAAAGGTCAGAGTGATGGCCTGTGATCTGGCCCTGTCTCCTCCTGACCTGAGCAACCCGAACTTCCCTCCTCAAAGATCCCACTGTAGTCACACTATCCGCCTTGCTGTTTCTAGAACACTCCAGGCATGCTCTGGCTTTTCTGTCCAGAAGGCTCATCCCCAGGTATCAGATGACTCACTTCTTCACTCCTTTGAGCTTCGTTTACGTGTCGTTTTCCCAGTAAGACCCTCGCTGACCCCAATGCCAAGCTCCCTTTCCCTCTTCTCAGTTCCTATTTTCCTATAAAACCGGTTACCCTCTAATATGCTATCTAATGTACCTACTTCTTTTCTTTATTGGCCTCTTTCAAATACAGTGAAAGGCTCGCGAGCACGGAAAGTATCTGTCTTGCTCACTCATGTATCTGGAGTACCTGCACCCAGCTGGCACTCGAAGTGATGAAAGGAAAAGCTGCTGCTTCACCTCTATGGTATTCCTCCCAAACCCACAACTGCAGTCTGACCATGAGAAAACCATCGGACAAACCCAAACTGAGAGACATTCTACAAACTCCTAACTAGTATTCTTCAATACTATCCAGGCCATGAAAAACTGTCAAAGACCACAGGAAGCCAGAGGCATGACACCCTGCAATGTGGGGCCCTGGACTAGATCCTGGGGTAGGAAAAGACGTTAATGGAAAAGCTGGAGAAACCCAAATAAAGACTGGAATTTAGTTCATAGTCTTGGACCAATGTTGGTGTCTTAGTTTAGACAGATGTACTATGGTCCCCTAGGGAAACTAGACAAGGGATTTATGAGATTCTATGTAGTATCTTTGCAGCTTTTCTATACATCTAAAATTAAGCCAAAGAAAAAGTTTGCTTAAAAAAAAAAAGCCTAACCTTAAAAAATTGCATAATGAACGTGAATCCAAAGAGCCTTACTCCTATTATGCTTTCCACAGCAAAAACACAAGTATTCCAGTATATTTTACCTCGTACAAATGAAATTACAGTAGCCCCGGCCAGCGTGGCTCAGCGGTTAGAGCATCAGCCTGCGTACCTGGGTTGCAGGTTCAATCTCCAGCCCCAGTCAGGGTTGTGCAGGAGGCAATCAATCGATGTGTCTCTCTCACATCGATGTACCTCTCTCTCTCTCTTTCCCTCCCTCCCTCCCGCCCTCCCTTCCCTCTAGCTACAAATCAGTGGAAGAATATCCTTAGGTGAGGATAAACAAAAGGAAATCACACAGTAAGTGTTTTCTAGTGCAAGTCGAAGTCACTTCGGAATGTGCATCACTCTGGCTGTTCTGAACAAGCAGCACGGCTGCGCCCACGTGGGAGGCGCCATCAGTGAAGACTGCCAGCCGCCAGCACTAACAATAACGGTAGCGGTGCGGAGGACAACATTTCAATCACGTTATTTAAACACAGAAGTCAGGCCCTGGCCGGTTTGGCTCAGCGGTTAGAGCATCGGCCTGCGGTCTGGAGAGACCCGGGTTCGGTTCCCGCTAAGGGCATGTACCTCGGTTGCAGTTTGTCCCCGGCCCTGGTTGGTCGTGCGTGTGGCAGCCACTCGATGTGTTCCTTTCACATCGATGTTTCTCTCTCTCTCTGTTCCTCTCTCTCCCTCCCACTCTACCTGAACAAAAAATGGAAAAATGTCCTCGGGTGAGGATAAAAAAATAATAATAAAAAATAAATAAATAAATAAACACAGAAGTCAGGAAGCCTAAGGAACTGACCCACGGACAGGCTGAGGCAGAGCCAGTCTGAACCTGGACAGTCCAGCGGGAGGCTTGCGCTCTGCCTCATGCTTCGTGCAGCAGCTTCCCGTCCAGATCGGTGGCCACGTGACTCTGCTCTGTTACATCTCCTCCTCTATCTCAGCCTCTGCTATGCCAGAGGGTGTTAATTAATGCCCATTACTACAGTGACTATATTCTCTCACAGGACAGTTTTGCAGCCCACAAGTCACCTCTCCATCTCCAGCCCTTTACTATTAACTAGAGTGCTAAATCCCAGAGACGGCTGATGGGTCAACTAAGGTTTAACCCAAGAAAGTTGTATCAGCCGGCTAGTGTGGCTCAGTGGTTGAGCATCGACCCCTGCACCAAGAGGTCGTCAGTTAGATTCATGGTCAGGGCACATGCCCAGGTTGTGGGTCCGAGCCCCAGTGCAGGGCATGCAGGAGGCAGCTAACTGATGTTCTCTCTCATTGATGTTTTTCTCTCTCCCTCCCTCTCCCTTCCTCTCTCTCTAAAATCAATAAAGAAAAAAAAAAAGAAAGTTCTATCAGTACTATCACTAAAAATAACAACAGCTAACATCTATTGGGCAGTAGCCTTATGCCAGGCCCCAGGCTAAGCATGAGTCTCTCGTGTGATCATCACGACAACCTAGAAGGGCACAGTGTGCCCATTTCACAGACAATACGTTAGGTTCATAGGGATTAAATGACTCACTCAAGGTCTTGCACCTACCAAATTCTAGAGCCAGAATTCAAACCCTTGCTCTTCCGCTCTGTAGCAGAGCCGTGTTGTACCTTGTAGAGTACGCTGCGGTCCCCCATCACTCGGCCCTGGGAATGGACGTGCTCGCTGCTGCGCTTCCCCTTCACCTTGACAATACGCTGCACTTCTGGGGGAATGGTCAGCTCCCAACTCAGTTCAGTGGAGAGATCCTAGAGCAGAGTCAAAAGAGCAGCACCTGTAATCAGGAGGCTACACCTGGACCCGAGACAGCTGTCACAGGACGGGTCCTACAGTCCATTATCTGCACCTTGGTGCTGGAAGAAACAGAAAAACCACAATGAGGATGTGAAGAAGTTTTAGAACTCTCAGTTTGAATTAGAAAGATACTAAAGCCATTGAAAAAGCAGAGGATTATTCAATAGCTTCCCATTGTTTATCTGAGTAGGAAATATCCAAAGAAAATTTACCACTTATTGTTAAAGAATCCATATATTGGGCCAGCATACAGATCACTGAGTTGGGAGGAACCTCAAAATATTAAGGACACGTTCTTTAGAGTCATAGGAAACCAATAATCAAATCTGTATGGTTAAATTTATTACAGGGGGACGGGAGAGAGGCCAAGGGACTCCTGGGGTGCTGGTGCCGCTCTGCTCCCTGATCTGACTGCCATGGACACCCATGTTCCTTTTCTGAAGGGTCACCAGAGCCAGGCCCTGCTTTATGGGATTTACATGTACTCGCTCCCTGACTCCTCACAATAATCCTATGAGGTAGGTACTATCATCTTCTTCGACAGACGAGAAAACAGTGCTAGGGAAATCCTACACCAAGGTCACAAAGTTAGTAGCTGAGGTTTCACACATGGGCAGTTGGGTCTAAGCTCTTAGCCTCCACATCACAGTGGCTCCCCAAGGTCCTGCAGGACAGGATGGGAGGGCCGTCAGGTGAGCACATACCACAAACGACTCCTCTATGCAGCCCTGCTAGCAAGACCAAGACCAGGCCTTTGCAAACCTCCGAGCTGGACCTCAGACCAGTGTGCATCACTGCTGAAAGAGTGGGACTCAAGTATGTCAGGGTCAGAGCAAATCAACCCCACTTCTTGAAATAAAATTCGAAGTACACATTCTGTCAAGAGTAGGTTAATAACATCATCTTCATGTAGAAAGTACTATCACGTAGAAAGTACTATTACTCAACCCCCACTCCCACCTCCCACCCTCCCCAAAATGGAGGAAAATGTCCCTTCTCTCTTCTATAGAAAAGAAATGCAGGAGGCAAACTCCATGGGAGCAAAGTCTACTGTCCACTGCTCTTTCCACAGCACCTGGAACCATGCCTGTGATGCTGCAGCTGCTCAACAAGAAAACAACTTTGAATCAGACATCAGGACTATGCTGATCTAAATTCACAACAGAATGAATAGTATCATTCACTTCTTAGACAAATAACCAGAAAACACCCATATCTCTCCTACAAGAGTCCTGCCAAGATGCCCCTTCCCTACCTTCCGAAGTCGATATCCACACAGCCGTCCCTGTTCGGCACCCACCAAGTAGAAGAAGATGGAAGGAGCCAGCTCATGGAGCTGTCGCAAGACATTCCGAGTGGCTGGGAAAGCTGTGACCTTGAAAACACCCGAGGGCCCAAGAAAAGAGTTCAAGGCAAAGGTTAGGAGTCTCTCGGCAGTTTCTCAATACTCACCACTATTTCCCATCAGAGAGAGCCTTAATAAAACAGCAAATCGTAAAACAATTCATGTCTACTGAACTTAATTAGGGCTTGAAATTTAGTTCTGTTAAGGGCCAGAGTTTGCACAAACGCAGAAAGAGTAATCAAGAGGCTCAGAGATGCCCCTCCAGCCCAAGGTGCTCCAACTGCACACAGCTCCCATCTCTGCTCCCCTGGCTCTTCTCTGAGCCCCCACCCCTGCCACCAACTCCACTCGGATGTCCTCCAGCCACTCTGAAGATGTCATACCTTATACTCATCATCTATCAGCAGCAGCACCTTGGCATAGTCTTGATCCATGATGGGGAGCAGCAAAGACTGCAAGATGGGGCGCTTCAGCACTGGTGGAGCCACCTGACTCCACTTCCCAAAAATGGGGTTGAAGACATAGAGAGAACTCATTCCTGTCTCCTGAAACGGACAAACTGTCAGATTTCACCCAGGTGAAAAGAACGCACGTCCTAGAGGTAAATGTGGAAAGCTGGGACTTCAGCTCAGCTGTGCTGGATTCCTTAGTCTTTGCTCTCTTTGTGGAAAACAGGTAAATGGTCCCCGAGACTAATGTGTCAAAAGGGAAATAAACTTCCTCTTCACTCCAAAGCTAACCAAGAACTGGACAGGCTCAGGGACCAGTAAAATGGCCAAGAACCAATTCAGCAACCCCAGGGCAGCCCTTTCGGCAGAACGCTTCCCAGCCCCCTTTACAGAGTACCAGAATGAACCCACAAAAATCCATCTAATTCTGGGGGGCAGAGATACAAAGAGCTTCGTGTCCTGCTCGCTCCCACCAGAGGTGAGGAAACCGCCTATGCTGGGAGGAAGGCGAGCTGGCGCACTACACATCTGGTAGCCACACCACTGTCCGCACTTCACGTCAGTCCTGGATGGTCCCTCCACTCAGGGAAAAACCTGAAGAAACAGTTCTAACACCTGGACACTGATCTTTAACTCTCATATGATCCTAAAGGCCTAGAACAAACTTAAGTTACAAGACACCAGAGAGCCACACCACTCTGGCTGAAATCAGAGGTGGCCTCACCTTGTCCTTTACCAGGAGGGTGCACTGTGGAGGGTGGGGGAAGTGAGCAGTGGTTCTCTGCACCATGAGTTTAAAGGAGGAGTCTGGCTTCACGTCGGGGAGATACTGTTTCCACAAGATGGTGCCAGAGCTGCTCTCAATGCCGAAAAGCTGCAGGATAAACAAATAACTGCTCACTACAGAAAGGAAAGCGAAGAACTGATTCTACCCAGGAGAACCAGAACCTGTGCTCTCCCGACCACCCCCGGGGCCTCAGGAGGCTTGGTACCGGGGCTCCAGCCCCTTACCTTGCCTGAGGCTGTCACCATCACCATCATCTTCTGGAGGTTGAATTCATCTCTGGCCAGCGTGTCTATGTTGATCTCGTTCTTAATCTGACTTCGGGGCTTCCGAGCATCGTAAAACATTTTCCAGAGGTGGGAGGTCCACGCCTGCAGCAGGATGAGCTGGGACGAGAGGCGTTTCAGGAACATCCCCAGCAAGCCGTCTGGTGTCAAGGAAAAGGTGAAACAGCTGAGGCTCCCTCCCCATCAGACCAGGTGTTCCCAGCAGGGGATACTTGCTCTTCCTAACGAGGGTCACTCCCTCTCCTTGGCTCCACACCCCGGTGCACGCCCGAGGGGTAGTCCTATGTCTGATGCCAACAGTCTCACACTCCAGACAGCCAGGCAGGAACTTCCAAACCTACTTACCTGGCTCACAGTGCTTCACCTGCCTGGATCTCAGAATAAGAGGCTAAACGCCAGGGACCAGCCATGCAGGACGCAGCCATGCTGTGAATGTCTCCACCACAGCCCCACATCCAGAATGGCCAGAGGAAGGCTCTGGGTGCCAGGAAACCAGAAAGGGAGCGATGTGGGGTGCAGGGGTGCATATGTACATGTATCATGAACAGCTACTTCCATTTTCCACTGTTTCAGTCCTTTGACAACTATTTAACCTGCACTCAACAGACCTACTTGCAACCAACTTCCGGGGCTATCACTTTCTCTCTCCGACTCCATCCATGACCCGCCACCCTCAAGTCTCCTCTACAGAGTAGATTTGGTCACTGAAACGAGGGAGCACAGTAAAGGGCGTGGCCTCTGGAGTCCGGCAGGCCTGGATTAAAATCCCAACTCCACTCTTTGCTGGCTGGGTGACCTTGGGAAATGTACTTGACCTTGTGGCCTCCGGTTCCTCATCAGTACAATGGCACGGAACCTACTGACTGGGCTGCTGAGGTGACACACAGTGTGGGGCACACAGAAAGTGTCACTGAAAAGGAGGAGTGCCCTTTCTCATGGAACTTTTCTTCAGCTCAAGGAAGACAAGTGAGAAGCAAACAGGACAAGCCACAGCCACAGCAGTCCACGCACACACGAAATATACCTTGCTGATGCAAGTCAGGAAAAACAAAGAATTAACCCAAAGCTAGCCACGTGGGCAGGCAACGAGCAACAAGGCAGCAGGAAGCAGTTTACCTTGAATCGCTGGATCCAGGCAGCAAAAATAAATAGTAAAGTCAAATTAATCCTCAGCTTAAGAAAACCCACAGAGCCTGCCGGGGTGCCTGGCCCAGAGCAGGCCCTCGACAATGACAGCGAGACGAGTGGGTGGAAGGGCGACATGTGGGGAAGGAATGAATCAGAGTAGTGGGAACCACGTCTGTCCTAGGGGTTGGGACTGTGGGGGGCCTCAGGCACTGGCCACAGTACCTGGGTCACCTGGTCATGTCTCGCTAAAAAGCATGGTTGTTGCTCTGGGGACAATGGGCGCACCATGCCTGACAGGTGCCCGACACACACCAGGTACTTGGACAACGGCAGCTCTCACTACATTAAACTAAGTTTCTTTCCTCAGGGCCCTTCCCTAGAGTCACAAGTGACACCTCTCAGAGGAAAGAATGGTACACAAACCATTTGGCCACAAAGTACTGCAAACTGGTCTCAGAGCCGGTTCAGAACAGACTGACACACGGCCGCACCCCGGGAGCCAGGGATGCTGTGACACAGCATCGCTTGTGGTCCAACTAACAGCCCCCCTCCCAAAGCACCCCCTCAGCCACTCTGCTGTCCTAACCTCGAGTCCATACCTGCCTTCTTGCCAAATTCTCCTTCCAGCTCAGCCTGCGCCCCAGTCAGGGGAAGGTCCACCATCTCTAGGCACACCACCTCTGCCAGAGACTCCTCCCGGCTCCACAACACCGCCTTCCCTGCTGGAGAAACCATGGTCACAAAGCTAGGCCCGCTCCTCACCTCTTGAAGAGACTTGCTGGCTCAGGGATTCCCTGCAGCTCTTGTGTGAAAAAGAGAAACAGAGCAAGAGGCTAGATTCAAGAGGTCAAGCAAGGAAAGTTCCATGTCCCACCTGAGAATGCTAAGCAATTCCTCAAAAGCAGGTGACACGCTCTGGAGAAAATATCAGGGGATGCTCTACGTGACTTTTCCGGAAGCCTGCCCACAGCCCCAGACAAGGAGCCTGCTGGGCTCACAGGCGGTCCTAGAGGAATGGACTCAATGAGGTCTGCTCACCCAGCTGCTGCAGGAAAAGTAGCAGGTGATCCTCTGTCTGCACCAAGGCCCGGTAGCCCACGGAGTCATCCTTCTTCAAGAACACCTGGATGTACAGCTATAAAGTAAACAGTCAAGACCACTGCAGTCAGCGAGAATTCAAATGCCTCCTGGACCCCAGGCCCCAAGAGTCAAAGCCTGAGGAGTGGTCGGAGGTCCAGGTCACGGCATTACTTGATGTCTAAACAATACGGCCATTACCTGGACGCCAATACGATAACACATTCTTAGGAGCCAACACAACGATGCTAGGCTCGAGCTCAGATCTCATCATGGAGGAAACCTGAGTACTTCTTGGGTCCCATATCCTTCACTATGTGCCAATCACACCTCGCTAAGCCAGCAGGAGGCCAGGATTAGACTTCCCATTTTAGAAACAAAAAGCCCCGGCCCAGACGGCTGAGGAACACAACCGAACACACAGGAAGGCGACGCCGGGCAGCAACGAGGAATGCGACGCCGGGCCAGTGACCCCTCGCCAGCTGTGACTCAGGACAGGTCCTGGATCTCCAGTGTCCTCGTTTGTAAGCACCACCTCACAAGGCTGTTGGCAGGGTTACGTCAGCGCACACACGGAGAGCTCTGTGCGGTGCCTGGCACAATGACTACTTGGAATGAAAGGTATCTGCTTCACCATTATTCACAGGAACGTATGCCAGGTCAGTGGCGCAGGAAGAACTAGAACCCAGGACCAGAGAGCTCTATCCAGGACTCATGGCTGCGACCTGGCCCTGAGGAAGGGCGCCCCAGGACAGAGCCTGAAGACAAAGGCCCCCACTCACCCGCTCTGGCCGAGTGCTGTTCTGCTCCAAGCTAAAGGTGATCGTGGTGTCCAGCAGCCGCCGGCCTGTCTCCACTAAGTAGAGGTTAATGGTGTAGGTCTGGTTGAAGCAAGCCAGCAAGTCCTAGGGGAACAGACAGCACGGGTGACCTAGAGGGATCCCCCAAAGCAAAGCCTCCCAAAGGAAGTCTAAGAACTGAGGGGCAAAGTACCCTAGAGAAGGTGCAGGCCAGGAGAGGGAATATATGCAAAGGAAAATAAAAGAGCAAAGAAAGCGAAATCCTAAGGCAGAAATGAAATACCGGAGTATATACAAAAAATTACAGCCGCTGTGCTTGCCCAGTGCCCGGAGACTTTCCCCCAGAGGCAAAGCCATGAGCAGGGAAGCGGCAGGCCCTCTGGGGGAGCTCAGGAGCCACAGCAGACCCCGTGCTCCAGCCAGGCTCCCTCTCTCTGCTCGTGCAAGTGCACATTCAAACGACTCTACCAGCTGGGGGCCCAGAAATGTAGACATGAAGGCCAGAGAAGTGATTAACAACAGAGTCTAGAGATGCTACTTCCTAATCTCCCAACTAAAAAGAATCGAGAGAAATATTATTTACACAACTTAGGAAATCTCATTTGAGGCTAGAAACTCTAGACCAGCCCATGGCCTAAACTGCACCCCAACTTCACTGGGTGACCTCCTGGGTCTAGGTCTGGCATACTGCCCAATGCTGCACCCTACCTGTGGACCAGACTTCTCCGAAAAGCTCCCCATTGATGCGTCTTCGGAACTGCTGGGTTTCTGCTGGGAAAAGCGGACAGGAGGGGAACACTGAGCCAAAGGGTCACTTCCCAGTCACCAAACGGAGCTTCCACCTCTGGGTCTTCTCAGCACTTGGGAGAAGGCAAATCTCAATTCCCCATTCCCGCCCACAGAGCCTACGTAACCTTTAACAGTCCCAGACCAAAGTGAGGTCATCATATTAGGGCCCCACTCCTGGGGACCAAGGGGGTGTACAGAAAGCTCTAGATGATGAGGTCTTGCTTCCCAACAGCCTCCTGTCCCTGGGTTCAACGTGACCAGGAGACTGTGCCCAGACCAGCTGCCTGTGGTCCCGGCAGACACAGGGAAGGAAGCCCCAGGGCTATTCCTCTCGACACTCACCGCTTCATTCCGACAGGTCATGACCGCAGCCACCGTCTTCTCCCCAGTGGTGGCAAAGCTCACGAGGGCAGTCTGGGGAGAAAGCAGCGTGTCAGTTCCTAAGTGGGGACTTTACCAGCCAGTGGCCTTCCAAAGGGTCACCTCTACAGGGAGGTCCCTTGGCCTTGGAGTTGAAAGTACTCCCAACGTTACAGCAAAATGGCCAGGGCATGCGAGAGCAGAGAAAGATGTCTCCTATCTTGAGCAAACGCCTCCAGCTTCACAGGCAGGGATTTCTAGCATCTGCGTCTTGGCTAGATCCTCCCGAGTCCTAGCAAACCATGCTGCCTGGTTACCTGTGGGAAGTTTCTGAGCAGCACCCACAGCTAAGAACAGGCCCCTCCTACCTCCAACACAGGCATAGCTCCATCCTCAATCCCAGCTGCTCTTGGCATCTGTGGGAAGCTCTAACCCATGTCCACACTTTCCTGAGGACTCCGAGGAAGGTGCCAGTTTTACTCTAAAGAACCTACATAACTCTTAGGAGAAACAATACCCCATTTCTACTCGAAGGCTAAGCCCTCTCAAGCCACATGGAGGAAGATGTCTTCTATCTTGAGCAAACGCCTCCAGCTTCACAGGCAGGGATTTCTAGCATCTGCGTCTTGGCTAGATCCTCCCGAGTCCTAGCAAACCATGCTGCCTGGTTACCTGTGGGAAGTTTCTGAGCAGACTCAGGCCCTCGTGGTGGTGGTGCAGCAGAGCATAGTGGCTTGGGGACAACTGCAGGAAGAACTGGGCCCGAGAAGGATCCACTGGGTTGGGCTGTGTGGGAAGTACCCGGGGTTGGAATCCACTTGCAAATTCTAAGTCGAGAGACTGGGAGGCAAGGAGGAGAGTTAGGGCCAGGAGCCGAGAAGTCAGTTTTCCATCCCAGGCTTGCATCCGCTGCCCCTTTGCCAATGAAAGTAACTAGGCCATGGCATGCGCCTCCTGAAGGTCCCACTCAGGTTCTCCAAAGAGGACAGTGGCCCACTTCCCCCTTCACCAGCTCAGCCAGAGGCCTGGCCTTCTCTCAACAGCTGCCAGGGCTCAGGAAGGCTGCAGTGACGCTGGGAGAAAGACTCTTCCAAGCAGTGCAGACCGGCCTCACCTGCAGTGGGATCTGCCTCAACTCCCACTCCGTCTCCAGGGCCAAGGTCTGGAGGGACCGTGAGCTCGGGTCCGGGCACACCAGGACAGCCTCATCCACCACACCACAGGCTCCGGTGAGACTTTGCAGCCAGGGAGTTGAAACCCTGACCTACAGGAAAGACATCATAACAGGAGGCCTGTGAGGACTTTTTACACTCCCCTCTCAGCTCATCGGTAATGTCACCGCCAGATGCCACTGGGGCGCCCAAGCACAAGATTCTTCACAGCTGACACCAAAGGGTTTCTTCCTGTCCCCAGCCTCCCGAAAGCTCCAGCGCCAGAGAAAATTCCCAATTTTCTCTCTGGCTACTAGAAAAATATACCAGATTATCTTTTTTTAAAATTATTTTTATTGCTCACCCGAGGATAGTTTTCTATTTATCATCAGATAGAGCGGGGGGGGGGGGGGACATCAATGTGCTAGAGCCACATTGACTGGTTGCCTCCTGCATGACCCGACCAGGCCTCCCAGATTATCTTTATACCTAACCCTTCAGAAAAGCACTTGTTTACTATATTTGTCTTATGCGGTTTCTCTATCATTGTTTTACAACGTTATTTTGCAAGATACTTGTAGGCAACAAATATATCTATACGATTTCTTTAGCCATCCCAGAAGAGCACTATGTGTGATGTAAGGGCTTTAAAGAAACAACTGGCCCTGGCCAGTTTGGTTCAGTGGTTGAGCATCGGCCTGCAGACCAGAGAGTCCTGGGTTCGGTTCCCGCTAGGGGCACGTACCAAAAAAAAAAAAAAGACATTAAAAAAAAGAAACAATTGATGAGGAGCCCTGGCCAGCTACTTCAGCAATTAGAGCACTGGCCCACAGACCAGAGAGTTGCGGGTTCGACTCCAGTCAAGGGAGGCAACCAGCTGAAGTGTCCCTCTCACATCAATGTTTCTCTCTCTCTCCCTCTCGCTCCTTCCCTCCCACTCTATTTATTTATTTATTTATTTATTTATTTATTTATTTATTTTTTAATCCTCACCTGAGGACTGTTTTTTTTTTTTTTGTTCAGTTAGAGTGAGAGGGAGACAGAGAGAGAAACATCGACATGAAAGGGACACATCGACGGTGGCTGCCACCCGCACGACCCAACTAGGGCCAAGGACAAACTGCAACCGAGGTACGTGCCCTTAGCGGAAACCGAACCCGGGTCTCTCTGGACCGCAGGCCAACACTCTAACCGCTGAGCCAAACCGGCCAGGGCCCCTCCCACTCTATTTAAAAATAAAGCAAAAAATATTCTTGGGCCCTGGCCAGTTTGGCTCAGCAGTTAGAGTGATGGCCCACGGACCGGAAAGTCCCAGGTTCAGTTCCCACTAAGGCCATGTACCTCGGTTGCAGTTTGTCCCTGGCCCTGGTTGGGGTCATGTGGGTGGCAACCCACTCGATGTGTCTCTCTCACATCTATGTTTCTCTCTCTCTCTCTGACTCCCTCTCTCCCTCCTGCTCTATCTGAAGATAAATGCAAAAATGTCCTTGAGTGAGAATAAAAAAAGAAAAATATCCTAGGGTGAGGACTGAAAAAAATAAAGAAACACTTGATGAGAAGGTGGCCTCTTAGTGACCAGAATCGGTTACCTTTTTTAAAAAATTTTTTCAATCCTCACTCAGGATATTTTTCTCTTTATCAGTAGATAGAGTGGGAGGGAGGTAGAGAAAGAGAGACGAAAAGAGAGAAACATCAGTGTGAGAGAGACACATCAACTGGTTGCCTCCTGCATGACCTGACCAGGACTGGGGATGAACTGCAACCGAGGTACGTGCCCTTGACCGGAATCGAACCCACGACTCATTGGTCCGTGGGCCGACGCTCTAAATGCTGAGCCAAACTGGCCAGGGCTTTTTTTTCTATTGATTTGAGAGAGAAAGGAAGGGAGAGAGAAAGATCAATGAGAGAGAACATCGATTGGCCGCCTCCTGCACGCCCCCCACTGGGGGTCATCGGGCTCACAACCTGGGCATGTCCCGACTGGGAATCAAACCAGTGACCTCTTGGTGCATGGGTCGACACTCAACCACAGAGCCACATTGGCCGGGCAAATCAGGGACCTTAAATGGCTTCTGCATCAGCCCAGCTGGGTCTCTGGTCCTAGTGCAAGGAAGGACTTATCTCTTCCCCTCCTCAATTCACAAGGCTCCTCGAGGCAGATGCCTGACATACCTGTTGCACAATCTCTCCATCTTCCACGTTAAACTTGACAATGTTCACATGGCTGAAGGGAACAACGCCGAGGGCCCACACCACCCCAGAGCCGTAGGAATACACCATCTGGTAATGGATGCTGTCACTAAGAGGGAAGAAAAAGCAGGGAGCAAAGGTCCTTAGCCAGATGTCATAAACTATCAGTCTCCAAATAGGCTTTGTTTGTCTCACATGGTTCTTTTTTTATCATTTCAATTAACTGTTCACATTTAGAACTGAAATTTTACATGTAAAGATGTGGCAACACAGCAGTTCTATATGGCACCTATCAGTTGAGTAAGGCTGCCCCCTTGAGGTAGGCCAGGCACACCGCAGTTCCCAAGAATCCCCATAGAGCCTGCTATCTATGCTCTTGACCCCACAGGAATCTGACTTTGGGTCTGTGCCTTAGGTGGTCTACCTACATCCTTTTCTTTCCTCCCTCCTGTTCCTTTCCAGCTCCAATGCTTCACACCATCAGGACCTCTGAAAACCATCTCAAATCTCACTAAGCTGCTACATTTGGCCTTCTTGAATGATTGTAATTCTTACTATGAAAGGCTTAGCCCGACTCGAACTGGAAGTCAAAAAGCCAGAGGCAGCATGACCATGAGCGAGAGAGCCACCACCCTAGCTTGACCGGCTCTCGTGCCCAGTCAGAGTTTTCTCCTCACCGCAATGGGAACTCCAGAGGTAGGACAGCCCGAGGTCAGGCCTAGATCTAGTAAGCCCAGCGCACTACACGTGATGCCAACACGGGGTAAGCCTGGGCCAAAGCAAATGCTTCAACCTTAAAGGAGAAGGAGGGGCTTGTGGAGAGCAGAGCCAGATGCCATCACTTGGTGGGAAGGCAGCCTTACCTCTCTGGGAGATGTTCCGCCCACTTCAGGTGCCCACTGGAGAGGTGGTGGAGGGCAAGAGTGGTCTTCTTCAGGACGGCAATGTACCTCACTGACTCCTGCAGGCCTACCAGTCCAAGTGCCTGGAAACTGAGCACAGCAGGGGAGCATGCACAGCGCTCAAGCTGAGGAGACCGTCGGAACTCCACCGCTGTGGGGCCCAGCACATCTGGATCCTAAGCCCGGCTCCGACCGGTCAGCTGGCTTGGAGACTGCACTTCGAACCAGTAGGTCGTACTGCTCCCCTCAGGCCCTCTGAATCTCCTTCCCGTGGGACTTCACAGCAACCCGCTACCCTGCCAGCCATCAGACAGTCCTGTCATCACTGGGCTACATGCCTGCCTCCCCCATCTGACGAGGAGTTCCTGGATGACAGAACTCACTCACATTCGAGTACATTCTATCGGGGGTGTAGGCTAATGCAAGTGGGCCTACCATTTAAACAACTGTAGCCAAGACGTCCCAGGACTTCGAGCTGTTCTTTAAGTACGAAATTAAAACACTGAAAGTTCTGTATTATGTTCTTATATCTAGAACACTGCAAAGCTCTCGAGTCTTGGAAAGATTAGGAAAAGCAGTTAAGCACAATACACACTGCCCCAGCTCAGAGCTCTGCATTTGGCAGGCGCGTACTAATCGCTGGCCGAGTAGACACGTGTCCCAAAACCTCAAACACATCAAGCCCTGGCCGGTGTGGCTCAGCTGCTCAGAGTGTCATTCTGTGTACCAAAATTGCTGGGTTTGACATCAGTCAGGGCACATACCCAGGCTGTGGGTTCAATCCCTGGTCGAGGCAAATATGGGAGGCAACCGATTGATGTTTCTCTCACATCGATGTTTTTCTCTCTCTCTCACTCTCTCAAATCGATAAAAAACATATTCTCGGGTGAAGATTAAACAAACAAAAACAAACAAAAAACATAAAAATACTGGGTGTTTAATGCTCTTTGCATTTGGGAAAAAAGCCAAAAGGCCCAGAGCTGCTGTCCACACAAAGCCCTGAACCAAGCGCAGATGAAACACAGCTTCTCTACCTGCCACTGTCCAAGATGACCTCCCAGTTCAGGCCCCCGATGTTAGTCTCCCAGGAACGCATGATCCGGCCTCCATTGGATACGGTGACTGCATCTGGAAGAGAGAAGACCATAGTGACATTATTTCCCAAACTCGAGTTTTGTAGCTTCCTAGGGCCTGTTAGCAGTGGCCTCATCTCTGATAGATGAGTGCAAATAAGAGCTGTTTGCATACCTGTTCTTTCCTGTTGGGAATACTCCTTCTCCATTCCCTACCAGACCTCGTGCAAGGAAGAAACCAAGGAATGGGGAGAGGGAGCCGACACCACGCTAGAAACAAAGCAGGACTCTGCTCACCCTGTCCGTACAGCAGCATGGCGTCCACCGCCCCTTCCGCTGTGCCCTTGTCGACATGGCGCCACACTGAGAGACATAAGAGTCAGACATCACTACAAAATAAAAAGCGTCCAAAATGGGTGGGAGAGAACAAAAGAGGTCTTCGTTTGCACAGCAGCGCCCAATTTTATTTCAAGGGAGGGAAGGACTACAGATAACTGGCAATGATTTGCTCCCACGCACTGGGTACTGCGGGGAGGAGGGGTGGCGAGGAACCACTATTACCCCAAGCTAAGGTCTCTGGGCCTCCCATCTCCACTACCACCCATCGAGCATGTAAATGAACAATGACAAAATTAACAAAATCCATATGATTCACAAGAAAAACAGCCATTGTAAATTACATATCCATGATTTTAGTGCCTAAAACATCCATATAAGCAGAAGTAATTAGGAGGGCAGCAATCCAAACGTTTAGTGCAAAATAGAGTAATGTGTTTTTTGCAGCAATATCTAATTAAAAAATCCTCAGGACTTGGACTGAGAGAATCAACTACAAAAGCCAATTATAGAAATATATTAAATGATAAGACTTAAAAAAAACAAAACTGTCAGAACCCAGTAGGAGATGCATCTTTTGGACACCTTGTCCCTAACTTGGGAACCAGCCAGGCAGACTTCACAAGCCACAGGCCATTCTGGATTCACTCGTCAGTCATTCCATCCTGAGCTAACTAGTCTACACAGTCACTCACAGATATCCCCAGTCCGGGAATTTAATGCTGCAATCACGTTCTTCTCTGTGGCCACAACCAACTTCTTGGAACCGGGGGAAAATTCCAAGGAGGCAAATTTGAGCTTCCCAACATACTGCTGTCTCCTAAAAAAAAAAAGGGGGGGGGTATAAGGGGCCAAAACCACCACTGCATAAAATGCTTTGGAAAAAAGAACTACACGAACACAGGTTATCACCATCATACCTATCTCAAGATGCAGGAGAAATGTTTGTTAATGAGGAGATATGACCAAAAGCAAGATTTCTATGCAATGTGGTCCGAAGCAAAGGGAACAAGAATACAGCTAATAGATGAAAAATACAAACCTTCCTTCTATTTGCTGTAAGTTGTTTTTTGTTGTTGTTGTTGTTGTTTTTTGGTATATGCCCCTAGTGGGAACTGAACCCGGGACTCTCTGGTCCACAGGCCAATGCTCCAACCACTGAGCCAAACCGGCTAGGGCTAAACCTTCCTTCTAAATGTAAGCACACATTTATCTCACGGTAAGTGACACCAGAAAGAGCACCTGGAATTCCACTAGAACAAACATTCCGGTTCTCTCTGCATTCATTAATAGTGGGACCAGGACAAAGTAATGCACTGGGAATGTTTGTTGAATGAATGAGTGACCAATGTTCTGATTTGTGTAACTGCACACACTTGTCTGGAAATCGAGCTGTCTGGGCCCCGCCTCACATTATGTATGGATCACATTCCCATTTGCTTCCTAGTCTCAGCAGCTGCTCCAACATTTTTTTATTATTATTAATTATGTAAGAAAGATGGTTTTCTTTCCTTCTTGATGCCCACCAATATCCTGAGAGTTTCCTAGAGAGAACAGAAGAATTTGCAGAAAAAGTCCTCTGGAGGGGAAAGTGTTGCACTGCCCGTTTTCAGAGTGACGCTTTTTACAGTCACACCCCAGAGTACACTGTACCTGAAGGGAGGCTGGAGGAAACAAGCCAGCAACAACAACAAAATAGTGGGACGAGGCACTCATACCACACATGAAGAGACACAAACCTTGTTGTCCATGAACATACAATCCAACTTTCCCTTCTATTTTCACTGACCTCTGGAGAAAAAAAACTCATATAAATATTCCAACAAAGCTCCACAGACTGGGTCAGGCTTTGCTCTCTCCAGCCTTTTCCAGCCCATAACGTGTTCAGGGTCCATTTGACCCATTACTCAGACTTTCTTGGGGCTGTATCTCATCACTTTCAACACTCTTACCTAAGCATAAAGGGAATGTAATTAGCTTCGTATGGCTGACTACCAAGTACACAGGAGGTACTTGCACGTTGCTGTTGATGAAAAGGTACTGCATCCTGTAGCAAATTAATCATACATGATGCTTACACTGGATTTCTCTTGTGATGATGTTGTTTGGTCTATTTTTTTTTTGTTTTTATTTATTCATTCGTTTATTTATTTTTTGTGGTACATGCCCCTAGCAGGAACTGAACCCGGGACTCTCTGGTCCGCAGGCCGACGCTCAACCTCTGAGCCAAACCGTCCAGGGCTATTTTTTGTTTGTTTGTTTTTAAAGAAGAAACTAAGCTGGTAGTGGAGAGAAAGGCTTGTATTATATTTGACAGTTTCTACTAGTATTTCCACATACTTGATTCTCACTGTATCCAGTGGACAGTTATTACTCTCATTTTACAAGTAAATCAAAGTCCAATGATGTCAACTAATTACTGTCAGAACTAGAATGTAAAACTAAGAACTTCTGACTCTAAAGCTTATGTTCTCTTTTATTTATTTAATTTTTTTTCTCTATTGATTTTAGAGAGAAAGGGAGAGTGAGAGAGAGAAACATCGATGAGAGAGAACATCGATTGGCTGCCTCCCACATGCCCCCCACTGGGGATTTGGCCCACAACCTGGGCATGTGCCTTGACCAGGAATCGAACTGGTGACCTCTTGGTGCCCATGCTCTCTTTTAAAATACTGTTATCTGGACTATAAAAATAATGTCTGCTCACTGTAGAAATGTGAGAAATACATAAAAGTATAAAAAAAGCCCCAAATACCACCATACACTTAATCATGTTTTAGTGTATCTCCTTCTATTTATCTTTCAACTTATAAATTGCATATACCTAGTGTTCAGCTAAATTGGAATCATACTATATATGCCATGTATGTGTAATACATACATATTATAATATGAGCATTTACCTTATCATTAAAAATGTGACTTAAGCCCAGCTGGTGTGACTCAGTGGTTGAGCACTGACCCACGCACCAAGAAGTCACTGGTTTGATTCCTGGTCAGGGCAAATGCCCTGGTAGTGGGCCCAATCCCCAGTGCGGGGCATGAAGGAGGCAGCCGGTCGACATTCTCGCTCACTGATGTTTCTAGCTCTCCCTCTCCCTTCCTCTCTCTCTAAAATCAATAAAGAAAAAAAATTTTTCTTTTAAAAGTGACTTATGTTGCCCTGGTGGTGTGCTCAGTGGTTAGAGCGGTGACCCACACACTGAAGGGTCGAGGCTTCGATTCCCAGTCAAGGGCACATACCTGGGTTTCAGGTTTGATCCCTGGCCCTGGTTTGGGTGCATGTGGGATGCAACCAATCAATATTTGTCTCTCACATCAAAGTGTCTCTCTCTTCTCTCCCCCTCCCTTTCTCCCTTCCACAAGCTGAAAATCAATGGATAACAATATCCTTAGGTGAGGATTAACAAAGAACAAAACAAAGTGACATATTGCATTTGTCCCACTGTCTTATATCACACACTTATACAGCAGGTCCTCGAATAACTTGATTTCATAATAACGATTTGCCATAGGGACTTAACTCTTTGTTTATATCAATTAGCCAATGGCAAGGGTTCTCAACCTGTGGGTTGCAACCCCTTTGGGGGTTGAACGACCCTTTCACAGGTGTCGCCTAAGACCATCGAAAAACACGTATTTCCGGTATTTCCGATGGTCGTAGGAACCGAGACACCGCTCCTCTGTCCGTCTCCAGGCGGGTCCGCCCACATGCAGATGCGCCCACATACAACATGAGGAGCTGTATTAAAGGGTCGGGGCATTAGGAAGGTTGAGAACCACTGGCCTATGGTAAAGTTGGTTTTGATATATGTCGTTTTATTTAAAATTGCAGAACCTATTGATGCCATTAAGTGAGGACTTACTGTATATTTCCCCCATGAGCTCTTTCACATTTCTGTATCCACAACACCTAGAACAACCACTGACTCACAACAGGCAATCAACAAATATGTGAATGAAACTGCCTGATACAGAAAAGACTTCACACAGTAGATATCTAAGCTGGGCTCCGAAAGTTGAAATGTTCCCTGAATAGTAATAACAATGGGTGACATTTACTGATTGCACTCAATGAGCCAGGCATTGTGCTAATTTAAAGAAATTATGTCATTCATCCTTACAACTACTGTAGGAGGTAATGGACGAGTATTAGTAAACCATTTTACAGAGATAGAAAACTGCACAGAGTGGTTAAGTCACTTTCCCAAGATCACAGAACCCTTAAATGGCAAAACTGAGAGTCAAACCAAAGCAAGCCGACTCCAGGGCCTTAGGGAAAAAGTGGAGGGAGGGTAGGTGGGGTGAATGAATGGCACCTCTTAGCTGACGTGAAACGTGCGGGGACCTGTTCTGAGGCCAGAGCTGGGTTGGGCTGGGAGGGGAAACAGAACGAGGTTTAGGACTTCTCACTACACCCAAGGCCTGTTCACATGCCCGAGAGATGGCAGATCAGAGCCCAGCCAGTCCCAGAAAAGCGGCCTGAAGCGGGAGGAGGGAACAGTGATCTCCGACCAGACCCCAAGCATGCCCGAATGTCAGGCCGGCTGCACGGGCTTGCAGCCACACGGGGCGGCTTAGAAGCACCCCCAACGTTTGGTTCAATGCTCTGCTGTCGCCACCTTAAAACTTCACTTTTGAACAGGGTCCCACGTTTTCTTTCTTGCACTGGGCCCCACAAATTATGTGGCCTAGCTGGTCCTGCTGCCTGACAACCGCCCTCCCTTTAGCAGGCAGAAGACGGGTACTGGGAAAACAGCCACCTATCTCCCGAAGGGGCCCCACACGTACGCACCAATCAAACTTGCCCACTTGGTCTTCGTAGACCGCAGCCGCGGGGATCAGCAGGGCAGCCCAGAGCCAGACTCTGGAAGCCGCAGCGGCCGCCATGATGGGAGCCCGGGCCCCGCCCGCCGCCGGCCCAGTATGCACCGCGCCGCAGGCTTCGTCCCCGCGGAACCATAGAGTTGGGACCACCCGCAAAGCCCTCGGTGGGGCGCTCAGGTCTCGGAAGTCGCCGCACGCGCGGAAAGTAGCCCTGGAAACGTGGGAAAGAGCACGGGGGGGGGGGGGGCGGACAGATACCAGCCGTAGAGAATATTGAGTCAGGCATGTGCGAGGACAGCTGCCGAGGGCCGTCCCAGAGGCCCCCGCGCCGCCGGGGTCCTAACAGGCAACACCGTCTTCCGCCGCACGTGTCTGCAGAACGATGCCCAAATCCAAGCGCGACAAGAAAGGTGGCTGAAAGGGACTTTGGGACCCAGGGGCGAGCTCCGTTGGCTGGGTGCCGGCTGCGATGTGGGCTCTGGGAGCGTTGGGGGCACGGAATGGGACGCCCAGACCCCCGCGAGCTCGCTGCTAGCTGGCGGCGGGAGCACTGGGGGCGCGGGGAGCATCCGAGGGCACCGGAGCCTGGTTGGGGCAAGGGAGGGAGACTGTTTTGCCCGGCCTCCAGTGCCCCTCCAAGGCCTGCTGAACCAGGAAGTAGCTTCTGAGCACCCAGACTGCGCCCGATCTCGCCTTGGCCCACCTTCCCCACCCCAGCCCGTCTCCCTTAGCTTTCCGCACTCTCGCCACCCTGGCCGCCTCTCCCTTCAGCACAGGTTTATTCTCGCGTCTGGCTCTGTACTTGCCGTTCCTGTTGCCCGGCATGCTTATGATCTGATCTTAATGTGGCTGATTTTTCTCAGTTGTCAGTACATATGGCACCTCCAAAGCATTTCTCACCCTGGTGGCGTCTCACCCTGGCTGTTTAGGGGCCTGGCGCTCTCTAGGCCTAGGGTACAGCAGGCACAACAAGGAAGGTCTAGAGCCTCGTTGTGCTTGAAGTCATGGGACATATTACCACCCCCACGCCCCCAATAATACCAAAAACCGGTAACTAATGTCAGATAGTGATTCGTCTCATGGAGTAAAATTGAGAGAAAAAGGTGATGTTATTTTGTATAATGTGACCAGAGAAGGTCTCTCTGATGAGGTGGCAAATGAGCAGAAACCTCATTTCTGATGAGTGAGCAACCCACGGGGTTGCCTGGATAATGGTGTTCCAAAGAGAGGAAGCAAAGGTTCAAAGCTGATGTGAGGGCATGTTTGACATGTCCTGGGACATGAGGCCAGTGTGGCTTTGCAGAGTGAGCAAAGGGAGGAGGGGTGTTGGGGCAGAGTGGGCAGGGCTTTTAAGACCTTTGCAAGGAATTTGCTTTTCACATCCGGTGAAATGTGTAGCCATCTGAGAGAGAGCTAGTCCAAGGAATGACATAATTTAACTTGACTTGTGAAAGATCACTAGTTGTCTTGTTGAGAGTGTACTGGGTAGGGTAGAGGTAAGGGTGGGAGCAGCAAGACAGGCAGTAATCCAAGACAGGATGATGCTGGCTTGGTTCACGGTTGTAGCAGTGGAAGTGATGGAAAATGGATCGGTGTGTTGTGTTTGCCCTCCTGTGCTTCATTTGCCCCTGACTGGTGGGATTGCCTTTCTGTCTGTATGACTTGTGAAGAGGGACTGAGTCCCAGGCAGGGTAGGTAAGAAGTGGCCTCTTCCTGGAAGCACCCTGCTCTTTGCATTTGATGCTCTGTTGAGTGTTTGTGGGTTCTGTGGAGGGGCCGCGATGAGATCTGGCAAATGCCAAACCCTTCTGGGTAAAGGGCCATTTGGCCCCCAGCTGTTGTTACAGTAGGGGTGCTTATCCTTCCCAAAGTGATATTGCTGCATCTATGGGTCCAAACTGCAAAAGATGTAACAGAGGAAGTAAATGATGAGCCCTAGCCTTATTCCCCAGCAGAGGCCAGCCGTAGATGGTCTCTATGCACCATGGCCAGGAGCAGGAAAGGACCTGCATCAGCTAGCAGGCTGCGTCTGCCACTGAAAGCACTCCAGGAGCAGGAACAAGCCTCGTGAAGGGAGCAATGCTCAAACATTCCCTGAGCAATAACCGAGATTCGAGGTTAAACTAAGCAGAGCGAAGGAATATCGAGTTTGTCTGCATAACAGGAAATGTATCAAAGGACCTCCAGGGTCAGGAACGGCGGCAGGCACTCCGAGGACCCTGGGAAGAGCCTTGCTGCCTCTCCCGGTACTGGCTTGGCCCAACCAAGCTACCAAAGCGAGAAAAACTGAGTCTCCAGGACATCCATCCATGTCTCTCATCATGTCTCCTGTTTCTTTTTTGTGTTAGTTTCCTTAACCAAAACTGCTAAGAAAGGCTTGGAATTGAAACAGAACCTGATAGAAGAGGTAAGAGCTCGTTCTTTTTATTTTCCTAGACCTCGTATTTGGTTTTAAAAGGTGGGTATAGACTACTAGGGAAATACACTGTTACAAAAAGAGAAGAGAAGGCTGCTGGTCCAGCTCCTTCCCTCCAGTGGCAGCACCAAGAAAAATCCCCATGATGATTTCCAGCTTTGAGCCCTACTCTGTGCCCCACACAGGGCTGTGTCCCATATGTGTCATTCCACTCCATACTCACATGTGAGGTGACGTTATCACTGTTTGTGGTTGGGTAACTGGAGCTTACAGAGATTTGTTAGTCTGCCTCATGTCAAAAAGCTGGGAGTTACCAGACGTGGGTAAATGCACCAACTCACGGTTTGCACTGCTTCGGGGGCTGCAGGCTGCCTGAGAAGGCATCTCTTCCTACAGAGACTCTGTGGCCAGCGATGTGGGCAGAACGGCGCTGGTGAGCCGCCTCCCGTTAAGAGTAAATAACAAGGCTTCATATGCTTGATTTAGTAGATGCCTTCCTAGTGTAGCTGAGTATGTCTAGGTTGTCAACAGTTAACAAAACAGAGAGAAGTGGCCACAGAGAAGTCAGGAACCTGGGAAGACCGTAGGATCTTGACCCATGGCTCAGCTTCCCCTGCGCTTTGAGGTCACACCTGCTTTGCCCCAGGGATCCTGGCTTTGAGGCCAAAACTTCAGTTGTAAGGGACCTGGAACATGTTCTTTCCCATCTGAGACCAGAGTGTTGCCCAACCCGTGGTGCCCCCTGAATTGTTCCACAGCTTCGGAAATGTGTGGACACATACAAGTACCTTTTCATCTTCTCCGTGGCCAACATGAGGAACAGCAAGCTGAAGGACATCCGGGACGCCTGGAAGCACAGCCGGTGAGCAGGCAGCGGAGAGGGCCCTGCGGGGTGTGCAGACGGCCGTGCTGCTCCCAGCACAGGGCAGTCGTTGACTTGGGGCTCCCTGGGTCACACAGATGGCATCTTAAGGACAGTGCCCTGCCCCCACTGAAGGACACTTTTTAACTATTATAGCTGGTCTTGCACTGCTGGTGCAAGGACTTGGTCATCATTCAGGGAATGTTTGAGCGTTGCTCCCTTCAAGAGAAGGGGCTCCCTTGCCCCTGGGGTCTGGTCATTTTAGGAATACCCTGTGTGTTTTAGGAGGTCGGGCTGTGCTGTGGGATGCAACAGGGACCCAACAGCAGGCTGTGCAAGCCATGTGGCAAGCACCTGTCCTTGGGCTGGAATTATGATGGTGCAGATGACTCTGGCCGTCCGTTGCTACACCAGCTCTGGTTCAGACTAATAAACAGGCCTCTTCCGTACATTCAGACAGGGAGGGCAGGTTATCCACATAACATCAGAGTGGGCTGGTAGACAGTATATTGTGAATGTCGGGTCTACAGGCAGGAAAATGGTGAAATGGACCCTGGGCTAAAGACTGTGAGCAGGGCTCCGTGGAACACGTGGGAGCCTCTGAGCACACCTCCAGCTACAAAGCAGGACTAGAGCTGGTTTGCTCCTGAGGAGAGGGGCGGGCCACTTCCTTCACAAACCCCTATTCTCTCTGTAGGATGTTCTTTGGCAAAAACAAAGTGATGATGGTGGCCTTAGGTCGAAGCCCATCTGATGAGTACAAAGACAACCTACATCAGGTGAGTCTCTGGCCCTCACCGGGAGGGGACAAGGCCAAGCTGCCTTCTCTCCTGCTGCTCTCGTGTGGCACATGCTCTGGCCGGCCAGCCTTGGACTCGGGGAGAGCAAGCCTTGGCTTAATGCTTCGGTTCTCCTTTAACCTCCAGACCCAGAGAATAGACTCTCACACCACACAGCTGTGACCATCAAAAACGCCTCCAGATGTTGCCAAATGTGAGGGGATGGGCATCATAATTGTCCCCAGTTGAAAACCACTGCTCTGACGTGACCAGACCAACCCCCTTTTGTTCTTCAGGTCAGCAAGAAGTTGAGGGGCGAAGTTGGTCTCCTTTTCACCAACCGCACTAAAGAGGAAGTGAATGAGTGAGTGTTTTGAGGAGCGGTGGGGAAGAGAAAGGTCGGCGAGGACTCTGGGGAAGGAATAACCCAGAGACTCGGTGTACAGTGGAGACATCGAGACTGGTTTCTGGAGCCCGTCACTGCGTCTTTGTTCCCAGCAGGGTGCTCCAGGCTAGCTGCCACCAGCAGCTGAGATGGGAGGGGCGAAGGGGAGGGCTGGGGAGGCGAGGCCCAGGGGAGCCTGACTTCAGGTGGGCTGGTGGGCCAGTCAGGACCCTCCCCTCCAACCACTTCTCCTTCCCCAGGTGGTTCACAAAATACACAGAAAAGGACTACGCCCGAGCTGGAAACAAAGCAACTTTCACCGTGAACCTGGACCCGGGGCCCCTGGAGCAGTTCCCCCACTCCATGGAGCCACAGCTGAGGCAGCTGGGCCTGCCCACTGCCCTCAAAAGAGGTATGGGGAGGTCCCTGGAGCTGAAAGGTCACCGCTGAGTGGCCAAGAACACAGGCTCCCAAACTCAGCAGGCCCCTCTCCTGCCCCTCCTGGCTGTGCAGGCTATTCTCCTGGCTTCCATTTTCTCACGAGGAGTGGGCTACGAGCGCCCACCTCGTGGTGGGTGGATGTGGACAGTAACGTACTGCCCCCCGAATACGCCCAGGGTGCTGAACACGGCTGACCAAGCTGTGCCCAGGCCTGCTGGAGTGCTGGGGGACAGGCGGCCAGGCAGGTTCCTCCCGACTGGGCGCGGACAGAGAGCCCTGCCAGGAGTAACTCTTGCCCCACCCCTTCTCTGCAGGTGTGGTGACCCTGCTGTCCGACTATGAGGTGTGCAAGGAGGGGGACGTGCTGACCCCAGAGCAGGCCCGCGTCCTGGTGAGTCTGGCCTGGCCCCTCCCAGCAGCCCACAGGCTGTGGTGGGAGGGACCCGAGAGACTCCTGATCACACCCACTCCCTGACTCTCGGTTCGTTCCCTGCAGAAGCTTTTCGGATTTGAGATGGCTGAGTTCAGGGTGACCATCAAATACATGTGGGATGCACAGTCCGGAAGGTTCCAACAGATGGGCGACGACTTGCCGGAGAGCGCGCCCGAGTCAGAAGACGAGTCGGCAGAAGCATCAGGGGAAGACGACTGCTGATGGGCATGCGGACTGAGGCCCTCCCGGCCCATCCAGGTGTCCTCGTGGCCACTGGACTGTCACCACCCCTCCTGGGGGAGCAGCTGTGTGTTTGGATGAAGACAAGGGAGGGCGATCGGGACAGACTGTTTTCCTGCAGAGAATAAAACTGTCTGTAGGGTGTCCCCTGTAGACTGCAAAAGGAACTTTTCTCAGGAAAAAGGCCTCTGGGTTTGGGCTTTCTTTTGGATTCCTAGGGTTCTGTGTGTTCCCCTTGCGAGTCGGCTTCCAGCACTGGTTCCCGTGTGACCGCTGGGGACAGGAGAGCGGCCGCCACGCTCCTCTCCCCCAGCCCCCAGTGCCCTTCTTTGAAACGGGGGTTTGCTGAGAAGAACGGGCACCCCGGCTGCCCTTCCCACCCCACCGGAGACACACATTCTCCAAACCAGAGCTGAGGAGCTTTGGAGCTTTGGGGGAACCAGATGGCAGGCTGTATCAGGACAAGAGTAAAGCCCCTGCTGAGATCGAGGGGTGTGTCACGTGCTCCCCGGCATCCCGGGAGGTCTTGACGGTGACTAACAGGGTTTTGCCCAAATTGTTGTGTCTGTAAATGATTCAGTGAGGGCATTTCTGAAAGAAAACCCACTCCAGGCTGTTTGGCCCTCTCTCTGTCGTGTGTGGAAGGGCCACCTGCAGTCCCGCTCCTGAGGGGGCAGCGTCGGAGGCTGGGGACCCTCGCACTGCCCCTGCCCTTGGAAGGCGGATCTGTACTCCGGCGCCCTTCTCCCCAGGCCCTTGGGAAGGACAGGAAACCAGTTCACCAGGTTCACCCTGGACCGGGGCTGCCCCAGGTCAAGTGCCTGCTTTATTCAGACAAGAAACGCGGCCGTAGATCACAGCTCCAGCCTTTACACTCTATGAGGACAGCTGGAAACACTGCAAAAATACAGGAAACTAACAATTTGTGAACTGAGATTAGGAGAGAACAGGCTAGATGAAGCAGCTTCTCCAGGGTAAGAGAATGAGCAGTGACAGACGTAGTGTGCCCTCTGCCACCTCAAGCCAGGGCTGGGCCTAACGGAAGTAGTTGGGGCATTCATGGGCAACCAGATGCCAGGCTTGATCAAAGGCCTGCACAACAGTCGGCTCCAGGGGCCCTTCCTCAGTCGCTGCCAGGTTCTGTTCCAGCTGCTCCAGGCTGGACATGCCCAGGATGACCGCATCCCCATGGGCACCCTGGGAAGGCAATGGGCAAACATCAATATACCCGTGCACAGTGACCTGTCATTCCCAGCCCTGCCCCTGCTAGGATTTGGGACCTGATGTCTGTTTATACCATATAATACTACAGAAAGAACTTATCTTGCCTTCAAATAATTCCTAAGCCCTGCCTCCTGTGTCGTCAGCAGCCACTCACCTCTGCCACTCAGCAGCTAGGAAGACCTGGGTTACTTGACCTCTCTAGGCTTCAGACTTCCTGTACTTTGCAGGGTGATTGTGGGAATTAAAATGTTGTGAAGTGCTTTGCTTCAGGCCTGGCACTGAACAGGTGCTCAGTAATGGGAGCCACGCAGTGCCCAAGTGGGGGAAGGGGAACGGGACAGCAGGGAGGGGCAGCCCCACCAGGTGCAGAGTGGAATAAATGCCAGTGGTCAGAGAATGTAGGTTCCACGTGTTCATGCCACATGTGGCTCTGGGACTGGCCAAGTGAAAGAGCCTCTGAGCCAGTGTCCTCAATAAAATTGGGATTTTATTGCCCTGGTCAGGTGGCTCGGTTGTTAGAGCATTGGCCCATACACCAAAAGGTTGTGGGTCCAATTCCTGGTTGTGGGGCGTACGGGAGACAACAGATCCATGTTTTTCTCTCCCTCTAAAAAAAATCAGTTCACAGGTGAGGATTAAAAGATAAAAATAAGCCCTGGCCGGTTTGGTTCAGCGGTTAGAGCATCCACCTGCGGTCCGGAGAGACCCGGGTTCGGTTCCCGCTAAGGGCATGTACCTCGGTTGCAGTTTGTCCCCGGCCCTGGTTGGTCGTGCGGGTGGCAGCCACTCGATGTGTCCCTTTCACATCGATGTTTCCCTCTCTCTCTCTTCCTATCTCTCCCTCCCACTCTATCTGTGCAAAAAATGGAAAAATGTCCTCAGGTGAGGATTTAAAAAAAAAAAAAAGATAAAAATAAGATTGGGATTACACCTAATAAGGCCAGTAGTGTTTGTGACAGGACACAGGAATTTCAGGACAATGGGATTACCACCCAAAAGAACTGGGCACGGAGAAATTTCAGGGCAAGCAAAGAAATAATCTCAAGTCGTCAAATAGTTGTGTAGCCCTCTCCCTCCTTCCATGCCTACCCTCAAAGAAAAAGGGGACCCAGAAGCAGAGCCTCCTGGGAGGGCTGGTTACCTGGAGCTGCGAGTGGTGGTACATCCACCGCAGGGCCGCTGAGGTCATGGAGGGCGCACGGGCGCCATAGGCAGCCTGCAGGGCCTTCTCCACCAGGGCGATGGCCTTGAAGTGGTGCTCCTTCCAGAAGCTGGGCATGTGGGATGGCACAGAGTCAGCAGCATGGGGTCAGTCACACTGGGGTCCACAGGCAAAGAGCCAACCAGGGCAGCTGCGTCCACCCCAACCCCACAGCACGGGGTGGGGGCCAGGGTCCTCTCTAGCAACGGGGCTCCTGCCTTAGGCAACAGAACCGCTCGGGATGCAGGACCCCTCACCAGAGACCTCCACATCTTTGTTCCCAAGGATGCGAGGCCTGCCCTCCTTTATCAGCGCACAAAGGTCGCTAGTGCAGGGCAAGCCCCAGGCCACCTGAGCCTCAATCCAGGGCTTTCCTTCCCTCTTGGCAGGTAATGAGCATTTCCCAGGGAACAGCTGTGACTCGGAAGACCTGGCGTAAGTTCCAGGGACCCTCCTTTCCTCTCATAGGTCCCAAGATAACAAGAAACCCCACAGAAGGTTTGGTAATTCCTGTAGGAATCCAGAGACATGGGTCCGGGCTGGAGCCCGCAGGAAAGCAGCCTAGAACTTCATTCCGATAACAGGACCCCCACACACACACATGCACACACCTAATGCAGACATCTCCAGCTCACCGATTCCTGTAGGTTTCAGCCCAGGTATTTCCAAAGAAGCGGCCCACAGGTTGTTTCCCGTCCTTATCTTCATACTTGTACTTGCCGGTCAGCAGGCCCCCTATGAGGAGCTGCAGTCAGATCCTGACCCGCAGTGCCCCCAGAGGCTGTTCTGGACTAACTAGGGGTGGGGGGACCAGGAAGGATGGAGGCACAGCCCGGCCTCTTGTCAACCCCTCCCTGGGAAGCAGGAGTGCCCACCCATGCCAGGAGGAGCCTGTCCCACAGCAGCCCATACCAGCCAAAGGGTTGTAGGCGTAGAATCTCAGTCCAAAATGCCTGAGGCAGGGGAACAGCTCCGTTTCCACCTGCCGGGTGGTGGCGTTGTACATGCCCTGCAGGCAGAGGGGCCGGCTGCAGAGGGTGCACATGTCAAGGGAAGGGACCCCAGCAACCTTTTAAGACCTTCAGTCAAAACCTGTCCAGGACTTCAGCAGTGATTTCCCAGATCACTAGTGGTGGTAGGTGATGGGGAGACAGTGTTGGGCCCCGGGAAAGGAGATGACTAGAGATATCATTCCACAAATATCTGTGGGCACCAACTGTGAGCTGGACACTGGGTTTCCAAACACAAGTAAGCCCAGCAAGATCTGTCTGTCTCCAAGAGATGTCAGAGGCGAGTTAAAAATCCAGAGCGGCCCAGCTGGCGTGGCTCAGTGAATTGCACGTGGTCCCATGGACTGAGAGGTCCCGGTTCGATTCCCAGTCAGGGCACATGCCCGAGTTGCAGGCTCAATCCCCAGTAGGGGGTGTGCAGGAGGCAGGAGATCAATGTATCTCTCTCAAAGTATTTTTCTCACATCAATGTTTCTACCTCTCTCTCCCTTCATATCTCTCTAAAAAAAATTAATAAAAAATATTTTAAAAAACACACAGATAATCACAATAAAGGTGAATTCTATGATTATAGGAGGTACTCACGCCCTGGATGGTTTAGCTCAGCGGTTAGAGTGTCAGCCCACGGACCAGAGAGTCCCGGGTTCGGTTCCCGCTAAGGGCATGTACCTCGGTTGCACTTTGTCCCCGGCCCCGGTTGGGTTGTGTGGGTGGCAGACCATTGATGTGTCTCTCTCACATCGATGTTTCTCTCTCTCTCTCTTTCTTCCTCTCTCTCTCACACTCTATCTGAAAATGAAGGCAAAAATGTCCTCAGGTAAGGATAAAAAAAAAAGGTGGTACTCACAAATACTCACTAAATGTATGATTAGGTCTGGAAATTAGAGGCCCCCCCGGGGCCTCTGGAAAGGCTTCCAGAAGAGCCATCTAAGTGAGACCTGAGCACTGGGAAAAGGGGGAGAAGTGTTCCAGGCTGACGTGCAAACCAAGGAAGCAGGAAGGATGGGACCAAGGTGTTCACGGCAGGCAGAAAGGGGAGCCAGAGCCAGGGGGAGCCAGGGCCAGAGCGAGCCAGTGCCTGTTGTCCAGGCTAAGAAGCTTGACCGTCATCCTGAGAGCACGTGCAGGCTGTGAGCAGTGGAATGGCTGCTCTGGAGGGGGCGTGGGGGCAGTCACAGGGGCCAAGAGAAGTCAGGATCAGCAGAAGCCCTGGAGACTGAGGCCTCTGCACCCTGCCACATACCTGGTACACGGTGGGAAGGATCCAGCCGTTGTTCTTGCAGAGGGTACATATCTCAGCCACCTCCCAGGCTGCATAGTTGGAGAGGCCAAGCTCCACAAACTTGCCCTGCAGGGAAGAGGTGGTGGTCAGAACCCAACACAGTTCTGGAGACCAGGAAGGGAAGACCACAATGAAGACCACAGGAGTGGGGACTGCTTTGGGACAGCCCTGGAGCCTCCACTTTCCTGGGTAATGACAGGACAGAGAGGAGCAGCAGACCTCCCGGAGCTCGGGGTACCACCCTCACCTCCTGGTGAAGCTGGTGGCAGGCACGCAGCGTTTCTTCCACGGGAGTGCCATGGTCAGGCGCATGTAGGTAGAAGAGGTCCACCTGGGAACACTGCAGTCGCTTCAGTGATGTCTCCAGCTGGGACCGGAGACTGTCAGGTGTCAGTGACTTCCCATCCCAGGGATTGGCCTTGGTGGCAATTTTCACTTTGTGGGGAGAATATAATAGTTGAGAGACTTATTATAACCACATACTAGCCATGTGACCCTGGTTAAATTATTTAAGTGCCCTAGGCCTTGGTGCTATAATCTGTAAAATAGTGCACGCAGGGGAATGGGGAATACCTGGTCAAAAGCTGTGGGACTTGATAACGACACTGTCTTCATTGGGAGATCATGAGGATGAACTGCATCTTACATGCAAGTTCTCAATATCCACTGCTATTATAGTAACAGTCACAGAATGCTGGCTGTGCCGAGCCTTGCACTGGAGGCTGGTACACAGAGATGAACTAAACACACTCAGTCTCAACCCTCAAGGAGTCTGGAAGGTGAGGTTACAATATGGAGTGCAGCACAGAAAAGCACCATACCAAAGGAGCCCAAAGAAGAGGTGTGTGGTCAGTCTGGGACTGCCAGGGAAGGCTTCCTGTAGGACAGCCCCCAAGCTGAGTGTTCAGGAATGAGTCACAGTTAACAAGGAAGGATGGGAAACACATTCCAGAGGGCGAGAATACAGGCAAAATCAAAGACAAGGCAATACAGTATGTGCAGGGCCATACTTGGCAATTCTGAGTTATAAGAGCATAAACTCCAGGCACGAAGCAATGGGACAAGAGAAGAGAGAAAGGGCACAGGCCTAATCCCAAAAGGTTTTCTCAGATACCATCATCCAAACATTTCAAGTCAGTGTGTGTTCTGCACTCTGGCTGCAATATAGAGAAAACACTCAAGGGGGCAGGCCTGGAAATATAAAGACGGGTAAAGAGGCTGCTGGGAGAATTCAGGGGAGAGATGCATCTGCCTGGACATGAGCGCTGGCAGAAGCAGTTATAGTTTCCCTTCCCCTTCCAGACTCATGGAAGCGTGCCCACCCACACACCCGCTGTAGAGACCCACTCCCCAGAAGAAGGAGACAGTCTGCCATGCAAGCAGCGTGGCAATGCTATAAACAATGCTGGCTTGTCTGGATAGATGGGTGGTTGGAGTCTATACTTTTCCCATTAGCAAAGGCAACGCAGCAGTGCAGAGGGAAGTCATCAGACCACTTCATATGAGGGAACAAGTCCCACAGTTTTTCGACCAGATAGTCTCCATTCCCTTGCATGCTTAGTGTGAACTTTGCCTCCGGTCAGACCTGAGGACTTTGATCCAGTGAGCTCATGAGGACACAGGGAAGGGTTAGAGGAGAAACACCAATCCAGAAACAAAACCTTCATTATCATCGAGAGGCGGCCAGGTAAACTAGAAAGTGTGGGCCTGAGATACATGTCCCCATTCTGTTCCTCCAGATCCACCAAGCTAGCACCAAGGACCCAGAGGGGAAGCCCCACAAGGGCTGGGAAAGAAGAGCCTCAGGGGGGAAAAGAGGGGGCAGTGTGGTAGTAATAGCTAACGTTTACTGGGCCCCACTATGTGCCAAGCACACTTCTAATGGCATCAGACTAATAAGGGCCAGTCCCTCCACACACACACTCCCCCCTTCCAAGCCATACCTGCCTGCTGGCCAGCCTTGCACACGCTGGGCACTTTCCATTTCCAAGCCATCTTTGTATATCTGTGCCCTCAGCTCTATTGCCCCTTTTTGTCCAGCAAACCACTACTGATCCTTTAAGGTCCAGCTCCAGTGTTCTCTGGGCCTTCCCTGGTGCCTCTCCCTGTTCTGGTCGTCCCCTCCCCGCCTTCCCCCAGAGCTCTTTCCCTTCTGGAGGCCCAGGTAATCATTGGCTTCAATCTTCCCCACTACATTCTGAACTCCCTGGGGGTGAGTTACAGTCACTTTCCTTCCTATGAGCCCATAACAAAGCCCTCTCTCACACCTCCACCTCTGCCCCGCCCCCGCCTCCGCCCAGCTTGCTATTGCATCGCTACAACTCTCCTGAGCGTGCCAAGGGGACTGTCAGCTGAACTGAGCAAAGTCTAGGCACTGATGAAAGAACAGGATGAGAAATGGGTGCCCAGGGCGGTGAGGGCAATGGGAGAGGGGCACAGGCAGAGCGCCTGGGGCCTGGCTATGGGCACCTGGCGGGATTGGAGGCGGGGATGGCACAGCTCTGGAGGCCACATCAAGAAAGCAACAGGGAAGCTTGCCGAAATAGCTCAGTTGGGAGAGCATTAGACTGAAGAAAGCAACAGGGGTACAAAGCTAAAGACTAGACCAGACCTGGGAGTTCCCGAGTTGCAACCCCTAAAGGAAGGAGAAGGGAAGGGGAAATTGGTCAGGACAAAGCACTGTGCGGCTGCTGGGGCTATATGTGCATCGGCCCTGAGGAGCTGGGGCTCGGGGAGGGGGCGAAGCAGACCGCGGTGCATCATGGCGGGGGTCGGGTCAGCGTCCTGCACGGTGCAGGGGGCAGTCAGGGGGCCGGGGCGCCGGCGCCAGGCGTTACCTCTACAGTCGCCGCCGCCCAGCCCGAGCCCCAGGCCGCCCAGGATGCTCTCGGACTGGCCGTCGCTGTACATGAAGGCCGTGTCCAGCTCCGTGTGGCCGCGCTCCAGGAAGGCGCGCACGGCCGCGGCGCTGGCGGGCGCGTCCATGCGGCGCCCCATCTCCATGGTGCCCAGCACGGTGGCGGGCCGCGCCGGGGCGCCCGAAGCGGACCGCTGCGGCCGGGACATGGCGGCGGCGCTGGCGGTGCGAGCCTGCGGTGGGCCCCGGCTCCGCGCACAGCGGACCGCGGCGCGGGCCACAGCGCGAGACGCAGCGCGGAGCATGAGTCCGCGCCTGCGCGCTGGGCGCCCGGGACTCCGCCCACCGCCGCGGGAAGGAGGAGCCCCAGAGGCGGCCCCGGCGGCGGCCCCCGAGCACCGCCAGGGAGCTTCGCCCGCGTCCCTTCGCGCACGCTCCGCTCGCCAGCGCCGCCCCGGGGGCGGTCCGGAAGGTGCGCGGCGCGAGAGGCGGAGCCCTGCGGCCCGGGGGCGGGGCGGCGCCTGGGGTCAGCTGACCCGGGCAGTGGCCGCCCAACCCAGAAACCCGGCAGGGCGGCGGGTCTGGACGCGGGGAGCCGGCTCGAGGCTGGGAGCACACGCGAAGGCGGCGGGTCGGGGCTCTGGGGCTTCCCTGCCACGTCGTCCCAGCACCCTCCTCCAGCCCCTGGTCCGTCCTGAGGCTCCTGCCCTCTCCTGCGGCGCGCGAGATCCTAGGTGAGGCTCTGAGCCGGGATTACGTGGCCCTCGGGGGCTCCTGTCCCCCTCCTCAGGGGCGACAAGCATGGCCTCTCGGAAGGGCCTGCCCGGGGCTTCGGGTCTGGGTCCCGGATTCTGACGGCTTTGTTTTCCCCGGGGAGGGGACCTCGCGGCGACGGCGCTGACCCAGCGGCTGCCCTGTCATTATCCCCGCCAAACAGGCGGCGGGCGCTGGGCTGAGTCACGAGTTGGCCCAGAACCCGGAGGCCTGGAGTGGGTGGTATCCACCAGCCTGGACGCTCCTCCCCTCTACCTGTTGCCTAGGTCTGCAGGGAGCTCAGGTTGCACTCTCCCCATCCCCAAAGCATGTACATTGAGAGGCTGGGTTTGGAAGTATGAGGGTTGGCGCCAGTCTTGTCCATTCACCACTACTGAAGGCTGTGCCAGGGACCCTGAAGGGGAATGGACGGAATAATGGTCATCCATGGCTCTTACCACAGTGTTTAACCTGTGCCAGGCACCATTCCGATTGCTTGGCCTGGATTATCTCATTTAATTCTGCAGTCGGCCAGGGAGGTGGATGCTTGCATGTCCCCCATTGTCAGATTGGAACGCTAAGGCTGCATCACTTGCGGAAGAGTTCTATACCTGTAGGTCAGTTCTAGATTGCTTCCTCATCCTTAGGTCATCTGAGCTCATAACTAGATCTTTCTTTGTTTCTCTTTCTTCCTTCCTCCCATTCTCCCTCAACATTTTTACTGTGCAGCTGGTGTGTCTAGACTTTACGTTTACAATCAGGTTGAAGGGGAAGGGTTGAGCTTAAAGAGCTTCATCACAGATCGCTAAGGAGTGTGATTTGGTTGTGGAGGGGGGGAGGGGAAGAGGTGGCAGGTGTTGTCCAGCCAGCCCTTGTAAAGCGTCTTTGAGAAGGCAGTTTAGAACTTGATCTTAGTATCTCTACCAGGCCCTCCACGGGGAGGACAGTACTAGGGGAGGAGACAGCATGTTCAGAAAGAAGCCTGGAGGCCTGAGAATGACTATTGAAGACCTGGGCAAGGGACAGGAGATGAGGGAGGGCAGTTTTTTGTTGTTTTTGTTTTTGTTAATCCTCACCCAAGGATGTTTTTCTGTTGATTTTTAGATAGAGTGGAAGGGAGGGAGAGGGGGAGGGGGAGGAGAAGGAGGGGGGGAGAAGAGAGAGAAACATGGATGTGAGAGAGACACATCGATTGGCTGCCTCCCTTCCTGACCCAGGCCGCGGGTTGAACCTGAAACCCAGGTATGTGCTCTTGACTGGGAATCAAACTCCCGACCCTTTGGTCCAAGGGCCAATGCTCAATTGCTGAGCTACACTGGCCAGGGCAGGAGAGCAGTTCTTTTTTTTTTTTTATTATTTTTTATCCTCACCCGAGGATATTTTTCCATTTTTTGTACAGATAGAGTGGGAGAGAGAGAGAGGAAGGGAGAGAGAGAGAGAAACATCGACATGAAGGGACACATCGAGTGGCTGCCACCCGCACAACCAACCAGGGCCTGGGACAAACTGCAACCGAAGTACGTGCCCTTAGCGGGAACCGAACCCGGGTCTCTCCGGACCACAGGCCGACGCTCTAACCACTGAGCCAAACTGGCCAGGGCAGGAGGGCAGTTCTTGAAGTATCTTGAGGATGTGGACTTGATCTGGTAGGTGAAGGTCACTTGAGCAACTTCACTGGAAAGCACTTCCTTGACTCAGTGTGTGATCTAGGAGAGAAGCTAGGGTGTAGTGGGGGCTGCCTTCTCCAGCAAAACCTTTCTCTTTATCTTATTTATTTATTTTTTTAATCCTCACCCGAGGATATTTTTCCATTTATCTTCAGATAGAGTGGGAGGGAGAGAGAGAGAGAGACAGAGAGAGAAACATGGATGTGAGAGGGACACATCGACTAGTTGCCTCCTGCATGACCCTGACCAGGTCTGGGAATGAACTGCAACCAAAGTACGTGCCCTTGACCAGAATCAGACCTGCGACTCATTGGTCCGAGGGCCTACTGCTGAGCCAAACCGGCCAGAGCAAGCAAAGCCTTTCTCAAAGTTTGGCCATATGCATCAGGATCAGCTAGGTGAGCCTCTTAACTTAAGGTCTCTAATCCCCAGCCCACATATACTGATCCTGAATTTTGAACACGTGCCTTCCTTGATCCAAAGCACCCCAGCTGTGGTCTTGTCAAACCTACAATTGCAGTCAAGCTTTGTTACAACTCTGGGCAGCCATTGTTGCTGTTTGAGCAGGTGGGCCCATTTCCAGAAGCCAGACCTGGGGCCCAGGCTGACTCCTTACTTAAGTCAGAACCTGTGGGTGACAGGCCCTATGCACAGCGGCCCTCAGAGGAAGGCCCCTTCTGTTCACGGCTCAGGAGTGTCTCAGAGTGTCCTGAGCCCTGAGCTGCACAACAGCCACGTACATGTTGAGGGGACCACCCACCCAGTGCCTGGGCCCTGTGAGCCAAGGTACATTTCTCAAGACACTCCCTCCCTCACTGGGCATGTGCCCACCTCATTTCTTCCCAACCTGGTGAAAAGAGGGAAGGAGACAGTGGCCTCAGGGTTGCTGAGATACTGGACTGTCATCCACAGAACAGTCGCTACTGCGCATTGTCAGGCCCTGGGCTTAGAGCTTTATGTGCATTTCATCTGCACAACAGCCCAAGGAGTGAGGCTCATTATCTACATTTTATAAACAGGCTCAGTCAGGTTCCTCACTTGTCCAAAGCCACTCAACCTTATGTGTAAAATGGGGACAGTGTCCCCACCTCTCAGGAAAGTGATGAGGATGGCAGTGTATTAAGGTGATGAGCTGCAGGGGCACATTTGGGATCCATAAGAGGAGGATGGGGAAGACAGTCCAATTTGGGGATGAGTGAGGAACAAAAGGACTTGATTTACAATGTCTTTGGGCCCTGGCCAGTTTGGCTCAGCGGTTAGAGCGTTGGCCCACAGACCAATGAGTCGCGGGTTCGATTCCAGTCGAGGGCATGTACCTTGGTTGTGGTTCGTCCCCAGCCCTGGTCAGGTCATGTGGGAGGCAACCAGTCGATGTGTCTCTATCACATCGATGTTTCTCTCTGTCTTTCTCTTCCTCCCTCCCTTCCACATTATCTAATGATAAATAGAAAACTATCCTCAGGTGAGGAATGAATAAATAAAATGTCTTTGGAATCGCAAAGATACAGTTCTTACCTGAATTGCATGTTAACCTGGGTGCTGGGGCAGGACATCGGGTAAACATCAGTTGTGCTAAAGGTCATCAAAGTGGGTCACCAGGAGATAGGAAGAGGCTTCCAGCCATGCTTGCTGGGCCCCGGAGATGCTATGGTGAAGCAGGCAGACAGTGACCTGGGACGCCCCTGCCCCCAGCTCCAGGGCCTTTGCCCACTGCTAGTCACGTTAGGGCTGGGAGCCTCGAGCTTCCTGAGAGAAGAAGCTGACTCGCTTCCTTTCCCTTCCTGACACTCAGGCGCTGTGACCTCAGCAGTCCCAGGGTCCAGTCAGGACGACAGTCCACTAGGGCTGCTATGACAGAACGCCATCGATCGGGTGGGTTATGAACACCACAGATCACTGAGTGCCAGCAGACCCCGTGTTTCTGAGGGCCCGCTTCCTATGCATAGATGGCTGTCTTCTCAGTGTCTGCACATGGCCGGCCGGGGAGCGCTCTCGCGTGGCGCTAACCCCATTCATAAGGGCCACCCTCCTGAGCACTTCCCAAAGGCTCCCACCTCTTAAGAGCATCACATTGGGGGTTAGGTTTCAACACAAGCATTTTGGAAGACATAAATGTTCAGTCTATGGCACCGGCATGGCTTTAGGAGGGCCCTGGGCCTCCCGCCGGGACTAGGAACTAAAAGGAGCTGGAGGAGCCTGGCGCTGTCGGGGGAGGAAAATCCCTCTGAGCACAGTGAGAAAAGGGGAAGCCTGCCTTCTGGCTGCGCAAGAAGCTGGGCAGCAGGGCCAGACCACAGGAGGGTTCTGCCTCGCCCAGGGACAGAAGCGCCGGAGGCAGCGTGGCATAGTGGCTTTGAGCAGGGGCTTGGGTCCTGGTCCTGGCTTTGACTCATAGCTCTGCCACTTCCTGGCTGGGTGGCCCTGGCGAGTTGCTTCCCTGGTTCCTCTACTTTATAGAGTTGATATGAGAACAAAATGCAAAATGCATGCAAGGTAATTAGCACAGAGCTGGCAGAGAGCTCAGTAATAGGGCTGTGATGAATCTTGCCTGGCAGAGACGGGGCCACCTGGCTCTGCTCTCTCTCCCTTCTCTGGGGTTGTCACACAAGAGTGACTGCTGTAGGCAGTGTGCAGGGGGCCCAGGCCCAGGGAGGGGCTTTCCCTGCCTGCCCCCGTGACCAGCCGTCTTCTGGCTTTGGCAGTGGTGAGAATGGGGAAGTGGCTCTGGACTGCTTGCTAGCAGGCGTCCCACACAGGTGAGCTCCGGGAGAAGATAGCTTGAATCCCAGCCACCTGTGCGACCTCGGGATTCACCTGTCCTTATTCTTCACCTGCTTCATCTGCTCTGTTGATGGAAGAAATGTCCACACCTGTAGAGAATTTTTGTAAGAGTTCACTTGAGCCAAACTGACAACCTGTGCCCAAGAGAAGATCTCAAATGCTCCTGAGGAGGCCAGTTTTGCAGTTTCTTTTATGCATTTGAAATTAAGGAGGAAACATCAGGAGGAGGGGAGAAAGCAAGATGGGAATCAGATCGTAGGATATGTGCTTTCTTGACAGTGGTTACATCGGGAGGGGTGTTACTTCCGGCTCTTCAGCGGTGTTTTAACCCAGACGTACAAGAACAGTGGACAGGACTTGCTTAACACCTTCCACTAAACAAGTTACAGGCCTGGGACGTGACTACCCACCACGACCTGCCCAGTTAGGAATTTATGATCCGATCACCCTGTGAGGTTATTTTTCATAGAACCCCCTTTTTTCATCCACACACCAATGTTGGGTGACAAGCCTACCCATGGGCCTGGTCTCAGCAGACCCTCACAGCATAATTTACAACCACAAAAGGTTAGAAACAATCTGAACATTCAAGCATCACAACAAAAGTGACGTGTTTGAGGGCTCGGTTCTCCACACTGTATTTTATGACCCCCTCTGACCCTCACCCCGGCTTACAGCTGAGGGAACTGAGGCACAGTCGCAGCATCGATGAGGGTTACGGTGGGATGTGGAGGCACGGGTCCCTGACTGCTCCCTGCACATGTGGTTGGCTCGGGTTTGCTCTGATCTCTGCACTTGAGGCTGACTGTGTCCTCTGGTCCAGTCACTGCCAGGTGATAAGGCTGGGGATGGGCTTAGGTTGGGGGCACCATGACGAGGACCCCCCCCTTCCAAGGCTGAAGCCCCCCTCTCTTTCTCCCGGTAGAGCCCTCTCCTGCCTCAGCGCACCGGCACCCTCCCCCCCGCCCTCTGCAGTCATGGTCTGGAAGACCCTGGGCTTGGGCAACTTCTCCAGCTGCCCCAATGGCTCCCGCCAGTGGATCTGGGACGTGTTTGGTGAATGTGCCCAGGACGGCTGGGACGAGGCCAGCGTGGGCCTGGGCTTGATCTCCATTCTCTGCTTCGCAGCGTCCACCTTCCCGTGAGTAGCGCCGGTGGCAGGGCCGTGTTTAACCTCTTGAGGGGCTACCAGACTATTTTCCTAAGTGGCTGCACCACTCTGTAGTCCCACCAGCAGAATATGGAGGTTCCAGTTCCTCCAGATTCTCATCAGCACTTATCCTCCAGCTTCTGTACTATAGCCATCCGGGTGAGTGGCAAGTGGTCGTTTTGATTTGCATTTTCCTGGTGACCAGTGATGTTAAGTGGCTTTCCACATGTTTATTGGCCAGCTGTGTATCTTTGGCAAGAGGTCTGTTCAGCACCTTTGCCAATTTTTTGTTGGATTATTTGTCTTTTTATTATTGAGTCGTAAGAGTTCTTTATATAGTTTGTGTGGACATAAAAATGTCCACAGCTGTAGAGAATTTTTGTAAGAGTTTATCTGAGCCAAACTGGTGATAATTGCAGGGAAGCAAGGTCTCAGACGCTCCCGGAATGGCAGTCCTGCAGCTTCTCTGATGCATTTGAAATTGAGGGGATGAAAGGAAGATGACAAGAGGGTGGGGAAAAGCAAGCAGGGATTGGATTACAGGATGGTTAACAAGATTATGTGCTCTGAAGAGGTGGTGATTTCAAAGGTGTGTTAACCTGGACACACACACACACACACACACACACACGGACAGGGCTTGCTTCAGGCAAAGATAAACCTTTTCGTAGGAAGGTTATTGGCCGGGTGCACGCTAGGCATCATGACCTGCCTAGTGAAAGCTTGTGATCAGATTACCCGGTGGGGTTCCTCTCCATAGAACCCTTTTCTCCCGCCTTCATATGACTTGCAAATATTGTCTCCCATTCTGTGGGTTGTCTTTTCACTTTCTTGATGGTGTCCTTTGAAGCACAGATGTTCTAAATTTGATGTTCAATTGATCTGGTTTTTTTTTCCCTTCTGTTGCTTGTGTTTCTGGTGTCATAGCTAAGAACTCATAATCTAATCCAAGTAACAAAGATTTGCCCTTCTCGTTGTTTAAAGAGTTTTATAGATTTAATTTTGCTAAATCTGACATTTAGGGGTTTTTTCCCCACACCACCAAGCAACAGACTCCATTCTGACACCATCTACCTGGAAATAGCACCAGACCCCACAGGTGAAGGGCTGTTTTACAGGATATCCCCCTCCCCCACCCAGTCACAAGTCCAGCTTGTCAGCTGTGCTTCTGCCCAACCAGCTGCAGATTGGAGGCTCCCACGACCCCTCCTGGGGTCTGATTAATTTACTAGAGCAGCTCACCGAACTCACAGAAACATTGTACTCACTGGATTAACAGTCTATTATCAAGGCTCTAACCCAGGACCAGCTGGAGGTAAACACGGAGAGGGCAGGGTGTGTGGAGGGGCGAGGGGCTTGCATGCCCTCTGAGTATCCACTCTCTCCAAACCTCCGCATGTCCACTCACCCCGTCTCCGAACCCCATCCTCCTGGGTTTCTATGGAGACTTCATTACGAACTCACTCTCCAGCCCCTCTGCCCTCCCCAGAGGTGGGGTGTGGGAACCCTCTAATCTAGCAATTTTCAACTGGTGTGCCACAAGAATTTTTATTTTTTATTTATTTTTTTTATCCTCACCTGAGGACATTTTTCTATTTTTTGTTCAGATAGAGTGGGAGGGAGGAAGAGGAAGAGAGAGAGAGAGACATCAATGTGAAAGGGACACATCAAGTGGCTGCCACCTGCACAACCCAACCAGGGCCGGGGACAAACTGCAACCGAGGGACGTGCCCTTAGCGGGAATCGAACCCAGGTCCCTCTGGACCGCAGTCCAACTCTTAACCGCTGCGCCAAACTGGCCAGGGCACCACAAGAACTTTTAAAACGTGCAATACCTATTCAGTCGGGCACTGAACTGACCTCTTTTAGAAAATCGCTGATCTAATCACATGGTTTGTTCCCCAGGCAACCAGCCCCCCTCCTTAGGTGACCTAGGGCCTCCCAATTCCCTTTATTAATATAACAAAAGACACCTTTATCCCTCTCACCACCTAGGAAATTCCAGAGGTTTTAGGAGCGCTGTGCCAGGACCAGGGAAGAAGACCAAACATATGTATATTTCTTCTTGTAAATCACAGTAGCTCCGTTTCTCCCTTGCTCTTAGGTCTCTGATCCAGTGTGAGCTATATTTTATGTGTGGTGAGGTGGGTTCAGCCTCCTTATGCATGCAGACGCCCAGTTGGCCCAGGACTGTGTGTTAAAAAGACTGTCCTTTTGCCCTGGCCGGTTTGGCTCAGCGGTTAGAGTGTCTGCCTGCGGTCCGGAGAGGCCCGGGTTCGGTTCCCGCTAAGGGCACGCACCTCGGTTGCAGTTTGTCCCCGGCCCTGGTTGGTCGTGCGGGTGGCAGCCACTCGATGTGTCCCGTTCACATCGATGTTTCCCTCTCTCTCTCTCTTCCTCTCTCTTTCTCCCACTCTGTCTGTACAAAAAATGGAGAAATGTCCTCGGATGAGGATTAAAAAAAAGACTGTCCTTTCCCCATTGCATTGTCCTATCAGGCTGTCGAGGGCTTGACACTGTCCACCAAACTCTAAAAGAGTCGGGAGGCTTTGGCTAGAAGTAGATGATAAAAATTTTTCGAGGTCTCAGGGTTTGCAAACGGGAGACACACCCGGCAATACCCAGAGTGTCCGAAGAAGAAAGGAAAGCTGAAAGTTCTTATAGTGAAAGGTACGCTCTTGAGGTCAGCCCTGCATTCTTAGCTTCGCATTGGTCCGAAATGGTCATCTTGAGATGACCAGCGGTCTGGAGAGTGGGTGCCAGGGGGTCTGGATGCATGAACATCCTTTCCTCAGTCCTGGGGTGGCCAGAGGGTTGTCTGGAGGCGTTGGTGCAGGACTGGAAAGCTGAAAAGTTTAAGTTCCCAGCCTAGTGAAAATAAGAATAGAATTGTTTCCACATTCCTCAAACTACCTTTTCTTAGCAATTTAGCAGCTTGACTACAGTGACTCCATTTTATTTCTTCACTCCATTCCTCTCCACGTTGACTGGATCCTGGTTCCGGGTGCCACACTAAGTAGGACACAAGTAAGCGGAGCATCCTGGCACCCTTCAGAAAGAAGGCAGTCTGGGAGTCCCAGGGAAGAGGGGTGGGGGAGAAAGACCAGCCAGTCACGGTGATGTCAGGGGCCACTGGAGAGGCCCTTGGGAGGCTGACCGGACAGGTCTGGTGACTGACAGAGGCCGAGGGAGAGAGGCTCCCTGTCTGGGGGGAGAGCTTCCCCAGAACTATCTGAGGAGCTGGCTGAGGCTTCCGCTTCCTACCGTGGCATAGCGCTGGCCCGGCCTGGGTCTGGCTGATTAACCAGTGCGCAGGGCGAACGCCTGGGACAGAGTCCCGAGTGACGGCAGGAAGGACAGCCACCTCCCTGCTCCTCCTTAGGACTCGGCCTTTCCTGAGTGTGGCAGAATCACGTTACCTGCAATTCATGGAAGTGTGTCAAGTCACAGTGCCCTGAAGGAGCTGCAGGGGGCATGGCCAAGCCTTAGTCAGGGGCCCTGTCCCTGTCCCTGTCCCTTGAGTCCCAGAGGCCAGGGTGCGGGGTGTTACAAGGGATGCTGGGAGGCCCTGAGGAGGAACTAGTATTTCCTGAGCAGTGACGGATGAGGAGGGTGGGCGGGCCTTCTGCACATGAAGAGTTTAGAGGAAGAGAAAGCAGCCCGGGTGGAGGGAACCCTGCCTCCCAGACTCACCAGCTGCACGACCTGGCTGGCTCAGCCCGTGAGAGGGTCCCCCCGGGGGCTGTGAAGATAACGAATTCATACACAGGAAGGGCTCAGCACTGTGCCTGAGACCCCATGGCCACCATCAGCATTGGTCCCGTGCTGAGACCTGGCGAGAGGTTCAAAGAGAGGGTCCCAGTACCAAGGACCTTTGGAAAATGACCAGGCTGCCGACGCCACCGCTTCTGTGTGGAGAGCTCCGGGAGCCACAGCCCTGCCCTTTGAAGATGACAGCGGGCTGCGGCTGAGCCGTCATCCTGCCATCTCCGCTCCCGGAGACAGGGCAGTGGCGGTGCCCGGGCCTCGCCGCCACTGTCCTCTTATCAACTCCCTGCCCCCTTCGCAGGGGTCCCCAGGTGTTGTGGAGGAGAATGTGAGTCATCTTACAGATTTTTTCTGGAAAGATGCATATCCTATCGAGTTCCTGGGTTAGAAGGGATTCTCCAGGCTCAAGAGGACCCTGTGGGCTCCCAGGGACCTGTGCCTCTGCTGTCCCTGGCCCATTACCCTGCAGCTGTCTCACGGGGGCTGTTCCCTGGTCGCCCCTCCAAGGCAAAGTCCCGCCCCTCGGCCCCGAACGTGCGTCTCGCTCTCTGCCGCAGACAGTACATCAAGGCCTGCAAGACGGGCAACATGGACCAGGCCCTGTCCCTGTGGTTCCTCCTGGGCTGGATCGGCGGAGACTCCTGCAACCTCATCGGCTCTTTCCTCGCTGACCAGCTGCCCCTGCAGGTGGGCGGCGCCGGCCGGGTGGGCCACCCGGGATAGCCACGGCAGAGGCTTTGGGGCCGCCAGCAGGGGAGGCCCAGGCTCCAGAGTCCTCCGTCTTATGAGGGCCCCACACTGTAGTGAGAGCTCTGTGCCCTGCTGTGAGTAGGACAATGGGCTGGTCACTGCCCGTCTCTGGGTCTCAGTTTCCCCACCTGCAAAATGACCACATCAAACCGGACGGTCGCCGGAATCTTCCACTGCTGACTGCTCTGATTCTGATGGAGCTGGGGGAGCGGGTGGGGGTTCCCCTGAGAGGCCAGGAGACATTCTCCCATGGGCAGGTGGAGCTGAGACTTCAGTCAGGAATCCATGTCTTCCCAAGGGTGATGGTGACACTCCTGTCAGGCCAGACCGGAGCCCACACTTAACCTCTGAGGCCTGTTCGGTCCTGACAAGGGGAGCTCATCCCCATTTCCTCCTCCTGCCTGGCCGCACACTTTCCCTGCCTGCTCTCTGCCAGGTAGGAAGCGTGATCGCCCCTTTCCAGATGATCAGACAGAAGCTCAGAGAGGTGAAGTGCCTTGCTCAGGGCCACCCAGCTGGGATGTGAGAGTGCTGCCCCGTTTCAGGGCGCAGGCCCCAGAGCCTGGGACTGAGACAGCCCCCGACTTCTCTTGCAGACCTACACGGCGGTGTATTATGTCCTGGCCGACCTGGTGATGCTGTCCTTGTACTTTCACTACAAGTTCAAGAACCGTCCCTCTGTGTGTGAGTACGGCGCTCCCTCCGTGTCAGGGCGCTGGGGCGGCCGGGCGTTTGGGAGGAAGCGGCTGTCCCATTGCCAGGCGATAACCGCAGAAAGGCTTCTTCAGACCTTATCTGAGAGCCTGAGCCCTGATCGGCCGAGATAGAGGCCCAAGAGCGATGAGCACGTCCCGGCGGGACCGCAGGGGTTCCTTCACTCTGAGTCTTACTGAACAAACGTGGCTTCAGCTTCTCCTGTGCCTGGCCTTGGCCATGGCGCTGGGGGAGAAGCACGAGGCACACAGGCCTCACTGCCTTTGAGGATTCAGAGGCGGCCGTAGCCTAGTCAGAGCGAGGGCCGTGGGAGACACGCCTAAAGCACTGCTTTTGAGGACCGCCCCGGACCACGCTGCCCTCATGGTACCGCTTTTACAACCCCGGGAGAAGGGTAGTATTATCACACTCATTCTACAGATGAAGAATTAAAGCTCAGAGAGGTTTGGTTACTTGCCCAAGGTCACACAGCCACCGAGGGCCAGGCCATGACTCCAATCCCAGTCGTTCTGCTGCCACTCAGATACCTAACTTCAGCTTCCCTCCTGCCTCATGCCCAGTGTCTGCCCCCATCAATTCCTTGCTGCTGTTCACCTTGGGACTGGCATGTACCACTCCGTTACTGAGCAGCCTTGGCTCTATGGCTGCCCCGAGGGAGGCCTTCAGGGGGCGGAAGCTCCTGTCTGTAGAGCCAGGCAATAAGGTGAGGTGTGGGGACATATGGTAGGGTGCCGATGGGAGGCTGGCATCAAGGGTCCCCCTGCATGGCCACCTGGGCACGGGGCTTGCCCTCCAGGAGGGAGCTTGGGGATCTGCCCCTGCTAGGCCCTGAGCATGCCCTTCTGCCTTCGCAGCCCTTCACTCGGCAGGAAATCATTGGCTTTGTCATCGGCTCCGTCTCCAGCGTCCTGTACCTGTTCTCCCGGCTGCCGCAGATCCGCACCAACGTGAGCCCTGGCAGGGGAGGGCGCAGTGGCAGGGGAGAGCGGCCTGGCAGCTCGGGCCTTTGGGCTGCGGAGCGACGTGGTGCAGGAGGTCCGGGTCCACACTCACTGTTGGCTTGGGCACCTCAATCCAGTTCTCCAAACCTTGGTTTGTGCCTCTGGAAAAGGGGCATGATGGTGCCTGCCATTGAGGGGACCATGTGACCGGTGTGAGTTCAGGGAAGCAGGAGGTCAGGTAGAGCAGGCGCTGAGCTGAGAGGCCTGAGAGGAGAGGAGGTGAGATGGGGGACTTGCTGGGCAGAGCGTCAGCATGGGGCTGGGAGCAGCGCATCATGGGCCACAGCCAGGGCTTCTGTGGACCTGGGCGGGCAGCCTGGGAGAGGTGGCCAGAGTGAGCATGAGGAGGGGGCCCTCGGGTGGGTGGCTGGTGTTCCGGGCCTGTCGGACTCTGGGCACACAGTGAACAGTCAGATTAGGACCGCACATGCAGTGACGGGGCAGATGGGTGTGTGGACAGTCACAGTCCCGAGGACAGGAGCCCTGTGAGGTCTCTGACCCAGCCCCTCCCCTCCAGTTCCTGCGGAAGTCGACCCAGGGGATCTCCTACTCGCTGTTCGCCTTGGTGATGCTGGGGAACACGCTGTATGGGCTGAGCGTGCTGCTCAAGAACCCCGAGGTGGGCCAGAGCGAGGGCAGCTACCTGCTGCACCACCTGCCCTGGCTCGTGGGCAGCCTGGGCGTGCTGCTGCTCGACACCATTGTATCCTTCAGGGTGCACAGGGCAGGTGGGCTGGGGTGGGGTGGGCATGCAGCCTCTGCCTGCTCACAGCTTCCACATCCCCCCACCCACCCATGCACCCCCACCCACCCATGCATCCCTCCACCCATCCATGCACCCCCACCCAGTCAAGCCTGTCTGCCATGCACCCCCCACCCGGTCAAGCCTGTCTGCCATGCAGCCCACCAGGCACAGGATGAGCAGGCACAGGGTGGCCTCGCCCCAAGAAGCTGACAGCTCAGTGGGGGGCAGACAAGATGTTCGTAATTACAAATAATTACTTCATTGCAGTGACACCAGGGGCCACAGGGAAAAACTGCATGTGTGTGTACCCAGGGGGCTGTCCTGGTTTAAAGGCTCAGCAGAGGCCTCCACGGGGGCCATTTAAGCTGTGCCCTGAAGGAGAAGCTAGTCAGGTAAAGGTAAGAGGGACACTCCCAGCTCAGCTTGTGCAAAGGCCCTGAGGACCAGGAAAAGTCGGGCCATGCAGGTCTGGGGAGTGAAAGCTGGAATTGGAGACGCACGCACGAGAGTTAGAGTCAGAACACCCTGGGGTCGAATTCTGGCTTGGCCCCCTCACAGCTGTGTGGCGCAGGGTGAACTGTTAACCTCTCTGTGCTTCCGTGTCTTCTCTGCATGGTGGCGTTAACAGTTGTGGGCTCACCAAGATAACGTGCAGATTACATCAGATAAGGAGTCCGGAGCTGCCGCAGCCCAGCACAGAGCGTGCCCAGTAAATGTTTGCTAGAGGACAGAATGGGCTTTATTTGGACCTCATTTGGGAGAAAGTAAACATGGTTCTTGATTCAACATTTGCTTAGTCCCTGCTGGGTGCAATGAGCGAAAAGTTTAAGCTCACCTGGAACTAATATAAAATAATATTGAATGTCCGAAAAAAAAGTTTAAGCTCTAGTGCCTCCAATGGCCCAGCCACGTAGTAAAACTTCCAGCAGGGTTTGGGGTGGGCGGAAGACAAGACGGCGGGGCTCGAGTCCAGGGGTCTGCCCGAGGGAGGGAGACCCCAGCGTGGGCTTGGAGAGGGAAGCTGGGCTAGGGCCGGAGGAGTGGAAGGTGCCGCAGAGCAGAGGCCGGGAGGTCCGGCGGCCCCGGGGCAGGTCCGCCCCAGTCTGTGCTTGCTTAGGCCTTGACGTCGGCCCCTGCAGATCTCCGTCCAGTTTCTGGTGTACAGGAATGCCACCACGTCCTCCGAGCACCAGCCCCTCCTCCCAGGCTGACCAGGGCCCAGGCCAAGCCCAGACGGCCGGGACCTCCAGATGCCACATCAGGAAAAGAGAGGGGTGGGCAGTGACAGTGCTGAGGACCCCGGGCAAGGCGGGAGGAAGCCGGGGTTGGGGGCCTAGTACTCCTGACCCACCTGTCTACCCCATGCCTCCAAAATCTCCTGGGCTGACTCTTCCAGAAAGAAGCAAAACTGCCCCTAGGGTCAGCCTGTGCCCCCACCCACTTGGACCCGCCCCCCAGGGTCTGAGGCAGCTGTCCCTGGGATCTTTGATGGAGGGGCTGCAGCTGGGACCTCACCCCTCAAGAAACAGTGCAGCTGCCCCTCAGCTCACCTACCTCACGCTGCTGCTGGCCCCTCTGGAGGGCACAGCTGCAGCCGGTGTACCCAGGACTCTGGACTGCAGCCAGCTTAGTAAATGGTACTTCCCAGCGAGGCCTGTTCTCTGACTCTTCCCAAGATGCTGGGTCTGAGCTGCACTGTGAACAGCGGTGGATGGAGATCTGGGCCCAGGTGGGGGCCTGAAGGGTCAGGCTGTGGGGGAGTCGAGTGGGAGGGGCCATCTGCTGGCTCGCCTCCCTGTGGCCTCTCGCGTCTTCGCCCTGCTTCTCTGTGTTGGGCTCCACACCTGGTGGTGGGGACGCAGCAATGAGATGACACTGCAGCGGGTCCCTGCACCTCGGAGCCCAGAAGGAAGCACAACAGTTGAGGTTCACATTATTGGTTCTGCATCATGGCTTCTCTGTGCCTCACTTTATCTGAAATGGGGTGGCAGTATTACCACTTCATGTGTCCTTACGAGATGGTGCAATTATGGAGGTTAGCCCCAAAGCTGGCACAGTAAGAGCTCAATAAAGGTTAGCTTTGGTATTTTTAATTGGAGGAGAGAGACAACCAGATCTCCTTGGCGACCCAGGAGGCCTTCCTGGAGGAGGCAGTGTGGTAGAAGGATGAGCAGGAGATGACAGGGGAGAAGGGTGGGAGTGTTGCAGGCCAAAGGAAGAGAAGGTGTGAGAGCAGGTGGGGAGGTAGGAGCAGAAGGCGGGGCTGAGCCCTGAGTTCCGGTTCCTGGGCCCAACCTGTGTTTCTCCCAGACTGGTTCAGAGTGCACTTCCCTGTTGGCAGTGACCCTGTGGGTGCTTGAGGACAGAGAAGCCGGCTCCCCTCTGCCCTTGCCCTCACACCCCACTTCGGGTTCCCACGTTACTGGAGCCATCAGGGTGGGCTGGGAGACAAGCTGTCCCTCTGCCTTTCTTCTGGAATCTTCCTCTTCTAGCCCCCGAGAGAGCAAGGAGCTGAGCAACGGGACAGCCTTCCCCGTGCGGGCCCGAGGGGGGAAGGGGGTGGCGCTGCAGATACTTGCAGCGCCCTCCACGCTCAGCCCTTGCTGTGCTGCAGGTCTGGGACAGAGGTGAACCTTTTCCGGGTCCAAAGTGCCATAAGAATGAGGAGACCCAACGGGGGAAGGCTTCATGGAGGAGTGGCCCTGGAGCTGAATGTTGAAGGCAGAGGGAGGGAGTGCAGAGGCCTGGAGCGGGAGTCTGGCTGTTCCCAAGAGGGGTGTGGGGGCAGGGCAGTGTGGGGGCTCACAGCAGGAGGCCAGTTCTGACTGGGGGAAGGGACAGCAGGGACGGCACCTCAGGTCCAGGTGGGCAGTAGGGCAGGAAGGGCCAGTGTCCCGCGGCCCTGTCCTGGGTGTGCCTGCGGACCCTGTGTAGGCTGGCAGCAGCTGCGTTTATAGGGCTCTCTGTGTCTGGGGGCTGGACTGTGGCCTCATCCGTTTCTCCCAAGCCCCTGGGTAAGTGCAATCATGACGGCCATTTCACAGCTGGAAAAACAGGTTCTGAGCAGTTAAGCAACTCGCCTGGGATCATTCCCCCCCCCCCCCCCCCCCCCCCCCCCCCCCGCTGTTTGAACTACATTGGGTTCCTCAGCTGCAGGGTTGGGGACATTCAGAGTACCCTCCTTCCGTGGCTAGGGGCACAGCCTTGCCCTGGGGAGCGGCCCAACCCGGCTGGGCTCAGACCCCCTTCCCACTGTCCTGAGCCGTGACTTCCACAAGCCTCTGGTCTGCTCTGTGGGAGGCGCCCCAGGCCCCAGCTGGCTCCGGCCCAGGCACGGTTCAGGTGCCCTTTGCCAGCCAGCCGTCTGGCTCCACCCAGGCTGTGACCTGGCTCCATGATGCCTGAAGACCTGGGGCTCCATTACGGCAGCACGAACCCCTGAACTAGAGCTGGGTGGGGAAGAGATGAAGTATCAGAGCCCCCACCCTGGGAAACCCTTCTCTGATGGGGTGATGTCGCCCCTTCCTCCTCAGGAAGCCCCAGTCTGATGGGGAACATGGTTGTGGTTAAATCAGACGGGCCTGCAGGCTCGTGCCCAGCACCTGGCACATGGTAGGTGCCTGGTAAATAAATGGTGGCTGCTTCAGCTTATCCAATGCCCAGCACCTCCGCAGCTTCTCCCCACAGAGGAAGGGCCAGTCTGACAGTCTGCTGCGTGCCCGGGCCACATGCTGGGGGTGGGCTCCCAGAGTGAGGTCCCCAGATGCGTTTCCTTTCTCCCCTGGGCTCACAGCCCTGGTCGGGTAGCTCAGGTGGTTTGAGCTTCGTCCCAATTCACCAAGGTTGAGGGTTCCATCCCTGGTCAGGGCACATACAAGAATCAATCAATAAATGCATCAAATAAGTGGAACAACAAATTGATGTCTCTTTCCCTTTCTTTCCTCTAAATTAAAAAAAAAAAAAATGCCTTACACAATACCTGGCCCCCATAGTCCCTACATCTCAGGGGCGGGGGTACAGGTACAGCTGTCTGGCAGGCAGGTGACATTCTGCAAAAAGCAGAAGGAATGACCCAGAGGCCCCAGCACCCTGCCTGTCCCGGGTTCCCCTCGGTTATTTAGCGAGCCTGGGATTTTCAAAGCCACAGCTTGGATAACATGGCCTTCAGTCCCCAAAGCTGAGAAGGGAGAAATCCACATCTTCGCCCTTTCTTCACCCCTTCTCCTGTTAGGACCTGGCTTTCACTGGAGCAGGATGGTGGGACCCCAGAGGTCCCTGGTACACAGCCAGGTGCTGAGTCCTAACCATCCCAGATGTCCCAGCACTACCTGATCAGGTTAGTGTCAGCCCTATGGTGGGGAGTGGAGATGGCCTTTTTTTTTTTTTTTTGCAGATTAATTCATTTCAACCAATAACTACTGATCAGTTTCCTGGCCCTGTGACAGCGCTGAGGACACAGCTACCCACCCGCACGTGTAATGAATAGGTACGTCCCCGCCCACCCACATCAGAGAGTAAGGGCAGAGACTTCTGTCCCGGTCCTCATCATATCCCCAGGACACAGTAGGTGCTCGATAAACGAGTGACTGAGGGAAGGAATCAGGCGTGAAACCTGCAAGCACAAGACTGAATTTCTGCACTTTAAATGGGAGAATTGTCTCGCGTGTGAATTTGCCTCAATAAAGCTACTGGAAAAAAATACAGAATAGGCTATTATTAAAACTGGAATGGGAAGTTGCAGGCGATAAGAATATATCGCTGTTTTGCACCATTTCTACTCACGAAGTCATTACAAAGTAATCTGAATGTCTAACGTGCCTGAGAAACGGGGTCAGTTGGGTGCGAGAAGGATTTCATTCCCTAGAGCAGCGATGTTCAACCTTTTTCATCTCCTGGCACACTAATTACTAAAATTCTCCCCCACACCATTTGGTCTATATCGCCCATCTGACCAAAAAAAAAAAAAGGTAAATTTTGATTCATTCCACACCAGGCTGCTATTGTGTTGGTGTTCGTGTTTTTATTTGACACTTTAAGGCAGTGGTTCTCAACCTTCCTAAGGCTGCGACCCTTTAATACAGTTGTGGTGACCCCCAACCATAAAATTATTTTTGTTGCTACTTCATTACTGTAACTTTGCTACTGTTCTGTCTTAGGCGACCCCTGTGAAAGTGTCGTTCGCCCCCCAAAGGGGTCGCGACCCACAGATTGCGAACCGCACCCACAGATGGCAGTGCCCCTGACTAAACAGTCAGGTATTGCAGGTTTTAAAAATTCTTGCAGCTCACAAATCGCTGTACTGGACCGAAGAGATACATCAATATGTACTATGTGTCTATTCACCCCCTCCCCCCCCAGCATTCATCCAGCAGGTATTCCAAGATGAAAAGTTTCACAAGTAGCAACACTGCCAAGTATATCTATGAAGTAACATTTTTAAAGACATAGGAATAACTAAAAACAGAAAATAAAACCTTGACAGCCCTAGCTGGTTTGGCTCAGGGGTTGGAGCATCGGCCTGCAGACCAGAGTCCCGGGTTTGGTTCCCACTGGGGGCACGTACCAAAAAAAAAAGGAAAAGAAAAAACCTTAATAATAAACCACATTTAAATACGTTTTTATGAATTTATATAAAACATCGTCTCAATTTTCTTTTTAAAAAGCTAATTGGACAATCTCAGAAGTGATAGTAATTACAACGAAACTTCTTATAAAACAAAAGTAGCACCAACTAGTTTTTTAAAAAAATTATCTGTTTAGTAACTACGTTCTCCAAAGCCCTGCAGGGAGCAGGCGCTTTGAAGTAACAACCTGACAAGATGTAAGGGACCTGCTTTTCCTATGGAAGGTTTTACAAATTTTAGTTACATTGAGAAAATTATAAAATGAGATTTTCACATTTAAATTCTAGAATATGTAACTTACAGTGCTTGGAACAAGACATACTTTATTAAATTTTAAAAGATTTTGCTATAGAGCAGCGGTTCTCAAACTGTGGGTCGCGACCCCTTTGGGGGTGGAACGACCCTGTCACAGGGGTCACCTAAGACCGTCGGAAAACACGTATTTCCGATGGTGATTCACAGCAGTAGCAAAATTAGTTACAAAGTAGCAACAAAAATAATTTTATGGTTGGGGGTCCCCACAACACGAGGAGCTGTACTCCAGGGCCGCGGCCTCAGGAAGGTGGAGAACCTCTGCTCTGGAGGCTTACAAACAAATGCTCGCCAGGAAGCTTTCGGCCCCATTCCCTGGTACGCAGGAGACGTGTCCACCTGTTTGGCTTGTGAAAAGGGTTCAGTGACAATGCTGACCCCCAGGCCCCGCGACTGGCCTCAACACAAGTTCCCTCTCTCCTCCAGCCCCTTCAGGGTCCACCGGTTACCAGGAGCAGAAGTGCACCCCCTAAGCGACAGGCAGGCTGGAGGGGGCTCCCAGGAGGGAAGGAAAAGGTGAAGCATCATGTCTGTCACGCCCGGCCTGCCCCAGGGGGCTCAGGGACAGGAACCCTTTGAAGCGGCATGGAAACAGTTCTGAGCGTTATCAGTTTCTCGAGCCAGAACATGCTAATTGGCGTAGGAGGGAAGGCCATGGCTGCCGGGCGCCAGAGGGGCCTTGAGCCAAGTCCACGATGCCGCTCCCCCAGCGCCGGCGGAGGCAGAGGTCCCACAGGCCTGCCACAGCGGCAGCTGGTCAGTGTGGACGAGTTTGGAGGCAGCGAATCTGGGGCCAGGGGAGTTCGTGCAGAGCCGGGCCCAGGCCAGCTCCTTCCTGCCTCGCAGACTAGGGCTCCTGTCACCCCAGCTCACCAAGGCTGCCTCCTGGTAACGGGCACCCAAGGGCGCCTGCAGGAAGCACCTAGTGAGCCCGTGGGGGGAGAGGGGATGCCCTAATGCTGCTAAACCCCGAGTCGGCCACCCGCAGCTTGTGGACCCAGAAGGCTGTCAGCCACCCAGGGCTCCTTTCCTGCCGACCCAGGGGTGCGCGTGGACCACGCAGCCACATGCTTGCCTGGTGCAGAGAAAGGGAGGTGGCCGAGTCAAGCTACCGACAGTCCGTTTGCCACTTGCTCTTTCCTTCACCTAAGAAACCCACTGTCAGAGCCCACTGCTTCCAATCTCTCCAACCTGACAGCATCAAAAGTGAGCAGTGATGGCTCCCATAGAAGATTCTAGAAGGCAGAGTGAGATTAGGCCTGGTAAACATCAGTCACAATTTCTGGGTTTCAAGTGTGATTTTTGGTCACACGATTGAACCTAATAAAAATGAAAATCATTTACTCAGCACCCCCCAAGGTTGTCACCCCTATTCCCGCATAAGGAAATGGCTCTGGGCCTGCCCCACCCACAGCCCCACAGCCGTGACACGCAGAGCTGTGTGGCCAGAGCCGTGTGGCCAGAGCCTTCTCTCTCTCCAGACTCCTCCTTCCCCACCTCACTAAAGATGCCCCGCCTGGAACTTTCTCGTCAGACCAAGCAGAGCGAAGCCAGGACCAAGGAGTCAGGGTCAGAGGTGTCAAAGACCCAGGCACCTCAAATGAGAGGGACAGCCAGGTTGTGGGCCCTACTGACTGGCCCACAGCCCCGAGGCCTCTGCAGCTCCGAGGCCTCTGCAACTCTGAGGCCCTGGGCGTCTGCCAAGGGCCGTGGCGGGCGGGTGGCGTGGGGCATACCGGGCCCTCGCAGGTGTTTGCTAAGAAAGGGGAGCAGGGGGCGTGGGGAAGGGCACAGGTGGAGCCCGGGAGACTTCAATGGCCGGCAGGGGGTGGGGCTGGGTGTCTGGAGGGAGGGGCCCAGAGGGGCCGCCCTGGGCTCTGCACAGACCCCTCTGCGTGGCACTGGGCCCGCGAGGCCCGCTGCCCGTCCCCACCTGGGCGGCCCTCACGGCCACGGCCACACGTGCCTGGAAAGCGAGGCGGGCGAGAAAGAACACAAGGCCAGTGCTCACTGCGTCCCAGTTTCTTTTTTTTTATTTTTTTGTTCTTTTTTTTCCTTTTTTTTTTTAAGTATGGAAGCTCAAGTATAAGATGTAGATTTTTTTAAGCTTTACAAAAAACAAAAAAAAAACAAAAACAAAATAAAACAAAAAACTCCTTTTGCATTCCATAAAAATTGACAGAAAAGCACCTGGCCAGAAGGGCAGAGGGTCGGCAGGCCCCGCCCGCAGCGTGGTCTCGAGGGCCAGGGCCAGGCGGTGCAGGACAATGCCGGGGCCACCTCTTTCTCCCAGAGCTGTCCCCTGCCCTCCCCAACCCCGAGCAACTCCCAAACACACGTGGAATCAGATTTCCAGTTTTTCTTCTATCTTTCACACACCACAGTTATTTCATAAAATTTTTTTGTTTTACATTTTTTACACCAATGTAACAAAAAGGTGGGAAGAAAGGGGAGGCAGACAGACAGTGTATTTTATGCTTATAAATGGTGGGGGGGGACAGGGGGCTGGGCAAACAAAACACACACAGTCTCTATGGAAACATCGAGTTTTGATAGCAAAACGTGGTGGGAAGCAGGCCTTGGAGACGGAGAGGGTGTTTAGCGGCTTTATTCTCAGGATGTGATGGCGCTGTGCAGGTCGGTGATGGTGACGCAAGGTGTTGTGTGACCTGTTGGGGAGGGAAGGGACAAGGGCAGGGAGCAGAAAACGAACTTTCTAAGAAAGGAATCTAACGAGTGCATGGCATGTCCGGTTAGCGTGAAGCAGAGGTTTAACATTGCTGCTTTCTCTTCAAAGCCTCCACCAGGTCGTTCTTAAGAGCTTCTTGTTTTGATTTGTCTGCAAAAGTCTGCACAGACCTGCAGGGAGGAAAATAATTCTTAGTAGGTTTCAGAGGAGGCGGCGCAGCGAGGGGCCGGGCGGCACCGTCCTCTCTCCAGGCGACAGCAGTGCCCGAGCACTGTGGAGGGAGCACAGCCCAAGGCCACAGGCTCTGCACCGCAGCACTGTGGGGCGCACAGCCCACCGCACAGAGGCTCAACTGGGCCCCAGGCTGGAGACTCGGCACAGCTACCAGGACCCTGTCCACTCCTCTGGGCACAGGTCCCAACGCAGCAAAGACTCTCTGCTTCAGACCAGCTGCAGACTCGGGGCCACAAGGACTCCCGCTGTAAAACTCCCCTCCCTGCACCCCTGCCCTGCACCCCACTCAGCGAGGGTTTCAGAACCAGCAGCCTGGACATTTGAGCACATTGGGTTCATGGCCAGGGCGGGACCCAAAGGACAGGTGCTTTCAGGCTTTGCTGTGAGGCTCCATCAGCTATTACTGGGCCAAGAAAACCCCTCGGCCTGGACTGCAAGAGGCAGCAGGGGCTGCGGTAAGTGGCCCTGCTCGGGCGCCCTCCGCACAGCAGCCACACTCGACCAGGCCAACATGCAGGCGTGCACAGGCCTGGCCACCACAGAGCGCTGTCCCTGCACTGCCCGTGATGCTCACGGCATCCTGGACCAGCCTCCGCATTATCACCCCAACGTACAGATCAGGAAACTGAGGCTCAGAGAACTGAGGCAATGACAGGAGTGACCACCTTGTCAAATGTACCCAATGTTGGTTAACCAAGAACTTGTTAATATTTTTTTAAATCGTTGCGAAGCCATGGAAAGGGGGGGGCCTCTCAGGAGCGCTGTGGACGCGTGCTCCACAGGAATCACGGTTCGTACACTGACCGTGGGAGAGAATGGGGTGGAGGGGAAAACACCCCAAATGCTGGAAATACAACAGCACCCCGAGGTGAATGCTGCCTATTGAACCCTGGAAAAACCATGGGTAGTATTCTCAAAATAGCGAGAGAGTGGAATGGAACAGGTAAGGTTTTGAAAGAATCTGTGTACAACCGAAAAAATGTCCACGAGAAATATGGACATTTTTGGTTGATGCTGCCGAAATACACATTTTTGACCATTTGCCCTGGACGGCCCTGGCCCTGCGCCGACAAGGGAAGGGGTCAGACCCCAGCCACGCGGCCTCTGGAAAAGCTCTAATGGAGGCTAACATGACCGGCGGGAGGACGCCGCAGGTGAAACAGCGACTCACACGGTCCCCAGGCTGCGGGGACGGTCCCCAGCCTGCAGAGTGCCGACTCTTCTGGGAAGGAGGAGCCCAGCACGCCAGGCTCCCAGCCACCCACAAGGGAGAAAGTTCCAGAGTTAGAACCAGAGTTAGATCAGGTAAGAGACAGGTTAGGCTTGGAACAGCTGGCTGTATAGGGGAAGGAGCAGGGCATTCATTCAGGGGGTAAGAGTTTGGGATGCCCGGAAGGAGGACCCGTCCTGGACAGACAGTGGGTGCCAGGCTGCCCACCATGGCACAGGGCTTCAACACCGGGGAGCCTGCCTCTAGAGGGTGGCACCAGGCACTGAGGCCAGGGACCCAGAAAGCTTGGGTGGGGGGGCTGAACTATCAGGGAACACCTTAAAGGGGGTTTTCTCAGTGCTGTGATGGGAACACGATGGTCCCAGCGTGAGGCTGGAGGCGCACATATGCCCTGGGCCTGCAGCTGAGGCACACAGCTCAGACCAACGTGCTCCAGTCCCAGGGACAAAGAGAGCAGCTGTCTGGTTATGTAAGTGCCCCTGCTCCCCCCCTCTTCCTCAGGAGATCCCACTGAGCCTCTTCTGGGGTGGGCCCTTGGTGTCCAGTCCTGGCCCTGGGGCTAAGCTCCTGAGCCCTGGCACTGCGGCCTGGCTGGGTTGTCAAAAGAGCGTCCCTCCTCCTCTCCAGGGACGCTGACTACTTCCATGTTTGTCACAAGCTGCAGTCATGGCTCTTAGCCATCACCAACGAGCAAGGCTACTTTCCTTTCCTTCCCGTCAGCATAAGGCATTTAAGAGGGCAGCTGCAGCTCATCCGGGTGGAAGGTTATGCTGGTCCAGGCTCCAGCAAGGACCAGAGCGGGGTGCATCGGCCAGGTCAGGGCTGCAGCCCCCACTCTGCGCTCTGCCTTCAAACAGGCCGCCTCCCACTAGAAAGCTTGTTTAGCTTCTAGGATCCTTGGTGGAAAATTGGGGAGGGCCCGGCTGCACCCGGCAGATTCAGGGAGGCGGTTCTGAAGCACGTGGATGACCAGAAAGCAGGATACGGACCCTGGCTCTGTGGCCACCAACGCCACGCAGCCCTGAGGTTTCTGCTGGAGGCGGAGCTAATCCCAGACTAGACTTCTACAGGAGCCGAAGCCAAAACCACCTGTCTGCCCACACCCAACCCCCGCCCAGAGTGCAACACACACACACAACACACGCACAACACAGGTCCACGTTACGTGGCGCCGAGTCTACATTAATGTGGCTGCTCACAGCCATGAGCCGACACAGGGGTTAGTGGTGGTTTAAGTGGCGCGCGGCAACAGCCAAACCAGCGGCGACTTGGCGGGTTGGTGAGTCCTGTTTAGTGGGGAGGGTGCTCGCCCTCTCAGGCAGGGTACCTGGATCGGCCTAATTATCAGGCTGGATGTGGATCTGCCGCTGGGTCAGCACCTGGGAAAGCTCCCTCTGCAACTGCTGAAACTTGGGGTTGTCAGGGATAACGTCAACAGATCTACAGAGAGCATTCAGACATGAATGGAGCAGGAGGGAGAGGACGAGGGTCTAGGAGCACATGGGCGGAAGGCAGCTGACAGGAGATGCAGAGGGGCACACGGCAGAAGAGGGCCATGCCCGCAAGGCCACTGGGCTGCAGTGTGGAGTCGCAGTGCAGAGCTCCACGCTGGCGGCGCTCACTGTGCAGGGCTCACCACTGCACCCCGCAGGCTCTGCATCTGCCCCAGCCTTCGCCCGGGCTGGGGGTTGCGCTTGGTGTGGGTAGGGCAGCGGCCCCCGGCTTAAGTGCCAGAGGAAAGCAATGTTGCCTGAAGGAGTGGGGAGGAAACCCACCAGGGGCCAAATTTCCTCCAGGCAGGGTGGGAAATGGGGGGAGATCAGGGTCCAAAAGGCAATCCTTGCTGTTTCAAACTGTATGAGTAGGAGATCAAAATCTGTCTGCGGGACAGTTCACAAGCCAGGCAGCCCCAGAGCTGCTTCCGCCTCTGCTCTGGCCCCGAAGGAGAGAGCTGTACCCGGAGTGGGGATCAGAGGGCTGGAGCCAAGGGCAGCAAGCCTGGACTCAGTGGCACGCTGAGCTGCGGGGCAGACTCCCCCTCATCTGATGCCCTCAGCAGCCCTGCGCCCTCCTGGACAGGGCTCCCACGAGGGGCGGCCCGTCCAGGGCTGACAGCGCTGGTGACGGAGCATGATGAGCCTGGCCTCCTGCTCTGCCACCGAGGACCTCAGGGACCCAGAGAGCCCGTCCGCCTTCACTCGGCCAGCCCTGGACACAGCCAAACCGAGGACCCAGGAAGGGTGAGAGGGGCAGCTCAGGACCCTGGCCACAGCCAACAGAGCCCTAGCAAAGGAATCAGAGTGGCTGGGGACCCTCTCCAGAAAGCAGCAGGGTGAAGGGGCTCCTTCTGTGGGACACTCTGCTGCTCAGAAACCCAGCAACCAGAGGAGGCCAGGCCAGGCGGGCTGCACTCTCCTGTCTTAGGGTCTAGTTCGGAGGCCCCTCAGACCCCAGAGCCAAAGGGGCTGGGCAGGTCCTTTACATGAGACTGACACCTGGGGGCCAAGTGGAGGCCGACTTCAGAGAGGAGGGCACCGAGGCTGCTAATGGGACGCCCCACATGACAGAGTGGAGGTAGGAACCAGCGTCTACTGAGAATGCAGACCGCGTACAAGGTGCTTCCCCGCCCAGAGCGCACAGCGGCCGGGTCAGGTGGGCCCTTTGGCTGCAGCGTTCACATGAGGGAGCTGAGGCTCAAGGCCACACAGCTAGTAAGCAGTAGACCTAGGATTCAAATCCGTATCTTTTTGGTTTCCAAAACTTATACTTTTGGGTACATTACCTCAGCCCATTGACGATGTCCTTTGTTTTCCCAAAGTAGATCTCATTCAGCGTACTTCTGATTTTGTTTTCCATGTCCTGGGGAGGGAGGTCAGTCAGACTCAATGGCAAACAGTTGGGAGTCCTGAGGTCCACAGCCTCCCACCAGCTCACCCTGCAGTTCCCGCTGTGACCACAGGGGGGAGGCGCACGACTGCAGCCAAGACCCCCCTATCATTTGGGCTGTGCGCTCTGTCCACAGGCACACAGGACGCCAATACCCCAGTACTGGTGGCCAACACTGGCCATTACTGGGAGCTGGTCTAAACTGCATCACCACCCCCTCAGCCTTCTACCAGGCACAGCACCCCCTTTCTTCCAAATAGCATGGTGAAGAGAACACAGCGGCAACTGAAGTTCCTCCAGAGCCCACCAGAGTTCCGGGGACCTGTTTCCTTGTCAGGCTCAGGTCTCCGCTTACTGGGGGAGGCAGGGCTTACTTAGGCTTCCTGAGCAGAGCCTTCTGGGAGCATGTGTTTGAGGTATGATGGGGCAAGGGGTGCCCTAGGAGCTCCTGCTTGCACCCAGATCAGAGGCTCAGAAAACACGAGGTCAGGACAAAACAGGAGAAACACGCCACTGGCTGCTAGGGAACTGGAGGGAAGAAGCGAGGGAGGCCAACAAGCCGGCCAACAGGCTCCAGGGGCAAATCAGCAGATGCTGCGGAAGCAAACCACAGCCAGATGCCAGCCAGCGCCCGGAAGCCCACTCACCTCTACCAGGCGCCCGATATTGGCTATGTGTGGTGAGCAGTCGCTCACAGTTTCATCTTTCTCCATCTGCAAAAGACAAGACATTCCTCCAAGTCAGAGTGCAGTGCTCCCTGAGACGGGTGCCTCGGCCAACAGCTGGGCCCTCCACGGTCTGCAGAGGACCTGGTATTCCTGCTGGCCCTCCAGAGCCAGCTGCAGTGCTGGTGGAATTCCCCAGTGGGGGCCCAAGCACCAAATGACCCAACTTGCAGGTCATGAACAGCCCAGCCAGCAAAAGCTCAGGGTCCCCATTTCCAGGGAGAGTCTTGTGCTGCTGCCCTTGGGGGCACAGGCACCCCATCAAGCCCACAGGAGGGAGGGCAAGGTGACACCTCGTCAGGCACTGGCTCACCCAGGGCCCAGAGGAGAGGCGCCCAGGCTGTCTCCTTACACTGCTCGGGGGCAGGCACAGCCGAGGCTTCCTGTCCCCAGTGGGGGCTCCCGTGCCAACGCCCTGTGGCGGCAGCTATGGAGGGCCAGCAACCTGGGCTCGGAGAAACAGAGCGACCTGCCCAGTGTCACAGAGGTAGTAAGAGCAGAACCTGGGTCCAACCTTTTCTAGCTGTTCTGTGAAGCTCACTGATGTGGGGGAATTTGAGCAAGAGATTCACCCTAGATTCCTAGGGCATAACCTGGGGACACCGTGGGGTGGGGTCTGGAGGCGGTGGGACCCAGCCATTCAAGTCTTGGGCAGAGTCCATTCCGGCCCAATAATCAAAACTCCGAGCACTGAAAGGAAAGAAGGAACTGGGGATTCCTGCCATGAGCACTCACTCACGGACTGTGGGTTTCTGCCTACTTTCTCCCCATGCTTGAGGCTTATTTCCCTCACGAATTATAAATTCTTTAAGGAGAGGTGCTGGTTTTATGCCTCACAGAGTACCTAGCAGATGGCAAGCACATACATGTTCACTGTTGCTAAACTGAAAATAAAAACACATGGCCACCACCACCACTGTCGTCAACGTAAAACATGGAAGCTGAAACGGGTCATCAAGAAATAAGAACAGTGTCAGGAAGGCTAGAGCTCACCATGAATTCAGACTAGTAATAGCAGAGCAGAGGGCAGGGAGGCTCGCTATCTTCCGAGCAGAACACCGGAGGGGCAGAGCCGCCCCACTCTCTCAGGAGGAAGGCCGCAGGTGGGAATGGAGCACTAGCTTGGCACTGATCAGACCATTTTTGATGGGACTGTTAAAAGCCATCTGCTGGCACATTTTACTTATTTATTTTAAAATAGTTTTTCTTTATTGATTTTAGAGAGGGAGGGGGGGGAGAGATAGAAATATCGACGAGAGAGAACATCGACTGGCTGCCTCCTGCGCGCCCCCACTGGGGATCGGGCCCACAACGTGGGCATGTGCCCTGACCGGGAATCGAACCAGCGACCTCTTGATGAATGGCTCAACCCGAGCCACACTGGCCAGGCATGTGGGCGCATTTTAACATCACTTGTCTCTAGGAGCCAGCGTGGGCTCTGCCCCGAGAATGTCTGGCTCCCTATTCTGAGGGGGACGCTGGCTGCAAGCACAGAGCGCTCCTCGCCTCGGAGCGCAGACGCAGGAGCTCCCAGCGAATGCTGCGCCGTGGCTGAGGCCTGGGGCTAGATGATGGCCGCCCACATGGCGCCTCTGCCGAAGGTCGGACACTACGTTCCCAGGGATGCCTCACCTGGCCCTGGGCCAAACTGTTTGCCCCGGGGTTTAAGGGAAACACAGCTGAGAGGGTTCATCGACGTCCTAGTAATGGCATCAGGGACCGAGAGGATCAGAAGGGTCCCTAGAGAACCCAGAAGCATGGGTCAGCTACCAAACACAGGTGCTTCCCAGGTGGCACCTTATTCCATTCAGTCCTCACTAACACCTGTTTTGAACCCAAGGATATCGCGGCTTCGAGATCTGCCCAGATCACAGCAGTGCTAACTCCAAGGACTCTGCTCTTCCTACCTCGGCAGGCTGATCTCATGTACCTGGGCAAACGCCAACCAGATACTCCGGCTTAAACATTAACCTCACTGACTACAAAATGGGGGACGAGTCCTGTGAAGAGACTCGTGGCTTTTAGACTATGTCAAACTTGACAAGACGTGGTGTGGCTGCTGCGACAGCTTCCGGGCAACTTGAAGCACATAAACGAAACGCTCACTGGTGCCCAGACCAGAAGCGGCAGCGAAGCCCCACGGCGCACGCGGGAAGGCAGTGGCCCCTGTTCTGTCCTGCAGGGCTGGATTCAGTCAGGACACTGGGCTTTAAGAGAGCCATGTCCAACTTGGAGTTCACCTGCTTAAAAGTTTTAACACCTTGAACCCCAAGAAATGAGAGAGAACTGGGGATACTCCAGGCTGCAAGGGACTCAGGAGATCCTAGCAGTGGGCAGGGGAGGCAGATGCAATCCAAGTCCCAGAAGGGCAGCGAGGGACATCACAGGATGACAGAGCTGTCTGAGAAGCAGTGGGGTGCCATTTGCCAAAGACACTAAAGAGGGGAGAAGACAGTCTAGAACCGTGGCCTCGCGAGGCTCCTCTGCGGGGGTGAGACACCTTCGCAGAGCAGGGATCTGGCTCTGCAGGGCTGTCTTGTAAGGACTGGTCCGCAGGGAAAGGAGAGGAAACGCTAGAGCCCCTGGCCTCTCTGCCTGACCCACGGCCCTGAACTGCCCCGGGCACTCTTTGGTCAATGATCCCAGGACTCTCCATCCTTAGACTCTAAGGGTCCCCACAAAACAGAAGTGAGAGTGCCCACGAACTAAAAGTGACGCTGCGCCCCGGCATCAGCTCTAACGCCCGCCGCCCGCGGAGCCTCAGTGCGGGACAGGACTGCCACCGGTGGGCACGCTCGCGCCCAGGGGGTCGGGGCACTTGGAGGAGGCGAGGCTCTGTCTACCTCCTTCTAAAAGGGACTTCTGGACGCCAGAGCCCTGGGGCTGTGCGTCCCCCACCCCGTGGAAATGGCTCCTGAGCCCAGACTGAGGGTTGCTCAGAGGGCTGCCCTTTCGGGCAGGGAGAAGCATGGGGGGTGGTGACCCAAATGACTTCTGTCGTTTCACAAGTAAACGTCTCTCTCCCTCCCCAGCTTCACACAGAGGGCAGACTCCTGGCAACCCCAGGGAAGTGATGAGGCTCTGAGCTCACTGAGGGTCCCATTTGAAATGAGCACCAGGGGCAGAGGGAGGCCAGGACTGTCGCAAAGGCTCTGGGCTGTGAGGGTGAGCAAAGCCACGTGACCAGTCAATCCCCCGGGAGAGGAGAGGCCAGAGCCAGTGGACGTGCGAAGGTAAACGGGGGGGGGGGGGGGGGGGGGGGACGACGACGACGACTCGGTCTCTCCAGGGGCAGACGGACTAGGTTGTGGCAGGGAATCTGAGCCCGAGGCAAGGGCCCAGCACACAGACATGTTCCCACAGCCCCTCACTCACAGCCCTGCCAACTCCCTCCACACCTGGTCAGGGCCAGCTTTCTGGCAATGCTGACCCACCGAAAATAGAACTTTGTGCAGTGCATATATTATTACATCCTCGTGAAAGTGGCTGCCAGAGGAAAACATTTCTATGTGCTGTGGTCGCACAGATGTTCCACAAGGTGATTCCAGCCGAGTCTGAAGTCAGAGGCCAGTCGGCTCACCCTGTGGAGCCCTCTCCTCTCCGTGGCTTGGACACAGGAAGGACACAGGCAAGTATTTGTAACACGGGCTGTTTTCCTGTGCTGCCAGGTGGCATTTCTCAGCGAGTGCAACCTGGAGGGCGGGGCCCCAAAGGAAGTCAGCCCCACCCAGCTCCACAGCTCGTCCGGAGGCCTGTCTAGGCCTCAGTTTCCTCGCCTCTGCCTCGCACTGCACAGTGCCCAGAGCGGTGCCTGGCGGAGCGGCAGCTTCACTCCCAGGACTTGCTGGCCCTGGCTCTTGCGCAGAAGCCGGCAGTGTCTCCCTGGGGACTGAGCGGTGCCGGGTAAGAGGCAGGCTGCAGGCCAGCACCGAGAAGACAGTGGTCAGACAGCCTCTCCAGGAAGGTTCAGTTTGCCGGTTCAGACAATTTTCACCGAGCCTAAAGCTTGTGTATTCTAGAAGATGCAAGTCTCTGCCTGTAAGCTGTGTGGTGGGAGCAGGGGCTGCCCTTATTGACATAAACCATCTGTCAAATGGCTTTGTATTTCCAATCTAGAACAATCTTTCCAAACAGGCACCATTAGCTCTATGATGAAAACACTCAGTTTCAGAGAAGGGACGTGGTCTATCTAGGTCACACGGCTGGATGTGAACCAAGGTCTGGATGATTCTGAAACCTGTTTCTTCCATGAGACAGTTCTCCTTGCTTAACGTCATCTAGGTTCTTTCCCAGAAAAATCAAAGACAAACCACAATCCAGAGCTCAGAAATTCCAAGCAGTGTCCATCCCTGTGTCCTCTGCCCCCCCGCCCCTACAGCACCCCTGGGATCTCTGATCCCTTCCTCTACTGTCACCCTCGCAGTGGAACGGTCGTGTCTCCTGTCGGCTTTCCTTCTCAAGCAGGCGCCGGGTCACTCCACCCAAGGCCGTCCAACCAACAACAAACCAAAAGTAGAGGCCAGGCTGCTGGAGCCGCTCCACCGGGCCCAGTCCACCGCCGAGAACGCAAGAGCTCGGCCGGCCACGGCTGCAGCAGGGCCTCCGCAGGGGAACACACTCCCTGGAGCACTTGCACCTGGCCCAGCCCGCTTAGTTCCCTCACACCTGGAAAGAAGGCCGCCGGCCTCTTCTCCTGCTGCAACATAGCACCTCGCCAATGCCACGCACTAGCCAAAGAGGGTTCCCTGCGTGACACTCGGGCAGGTGCCTCTGCTGGTGTTTCACTACTTGAACATACATCATGGGGCGCCTACTGCTGAGTGCAAAGAGCTCGGCTTGCAAATGACTGGCCTAACCTCCCCGCTCAGCAAAACATTCCACCTTCATTTCTAAATATTTAGAATCTGAAAAAAATATCAAACGAACATCTGCAGGCCTGTCCGCGATGGGAAACCTTGCATCTTTCCAGAGATTCACGGTCTTGCCTC